TGGGAAGTGTATTCTCTTCTGTTTTCCAGAAGAAATTATTTAGAGTCTGTGTTAATTCTTTTTAATGTTTGGTAGAATTATCCAATGAAGCCATGTGGCCTTGGTAATTTCTTTTTTGGGATTCTTAAAATTAAGAATTCAATGTTCTCAACAGTTGTAGGGCTATTCAAATGATCTATTTAATATTTGGTGAGTTGTGGTAATTTGTTTTTTTCAAGGAGTCAGTCCATTTTGCCTCAGTTGTCAAATTTATGTGTGTAGAGTTTGTCCTATTAACTCTTAATTATCTTTTTTGTGTCTTTAGAGCCTCTTTCATTCCTGATGTTGGTAATTTATGTCTGTTCTCTTTTTCCTTTTGTCAGTCTTGCTTACAGGTATGTCAATTTTATTGATCTTTTCAAAGAATCAGCTCTTTGTTTCACTGATTTTTCTTTGTTTTTCTATTTCCAATTTTATTGTTTCCATTTTTATGTTAATTATTTTCTCCCTTCTTACTTTTGGGTTTATTTTGCTATTCTTTTTTTAGGTGGTTGAGGTAGGAGATTATATTATTGATTTGAAAGTTTCCACTTTTCTCATGTACCATTTAGTGCTATAGATTTCTCTTTCATTGACTGCTGAGCTCTTTCCCATACATTTTGATGTGTTGTGTGGTCATTTTAATTCAGTTCAATGTATCTTTTAAAATTTCCCTTGAGACTTCTTTGATCCATAGATTATTTAGGAGTTTGTTGTTTAGTTTCTAAAAGTTTGGAGAGTTTTCTGTTATCATTGTTACTAACTTTTAGTTTGTTTCTGTTGTTTTGGAGAACATACTCTGTATGATTTCAGTTCTTTTAAATTTGTTGAGGTTTGCTTTGTGTCTCAGGGTATGGTCTATTTTGGTATTTGTTGTGTGGATACTTGAAAAGATATGTATTCTGCTCTTGTTGAGTGGAATGTTCTATAAATTTTGATTAGATTGTGTTGATTGATGGAGTTATTGAATGCTTCTATATCCTTGCTGATTTTCTGTCTCCTTATTCTATCAGTTTTTGAAAGAAGGGCTTTGAGGTCTCTAGCTATAAAAGTATACGAATGCATATTTTCCTTTTAGTCCTGTTATTTTTTGTCACCCTTTTTAGTTCTATTGTTTGGTGCATGCATGCTTAGGATTGCTATTTCTTAATGGTAGATTGACCATTTTCTGTGTTTCTCTCTGTTCCTGGTAATTATCTTTGCTCTAAAGTTTACTTCATTTGATATTTAATTAATTAATTAATTTTTTGGAGGCTGGCTGGTACGGGGATCCAAACATTTGACCTTGTGTTTTCAGCACCACACTCTCCCAAGTGAGCTAACCAGCCAGCCCCTACTTTATTTGATATTAATACAGCCACTTTGCTTCCTTCTGATTAATATTCGCATGACATTTCTTTTTCTATACTCTTACTATCAATATGTTTATTTGAAGTTACTTTCTTATAGACAGCATACAGTTGGATCATGGTTTTTAGTTCATTCTTCCAATGTCTGTCTTTTTTTTTTTTTCCTTTTTGTCTTTTTTCGTGACCAGTAACGGGATCGCAACCCTCGGTGTTGTGCCTGCACCGCGCTCAACCAGTGAGCGGACTGGTCTCTATATGGGATCCGAACCCTTGGCGGGAGCGCCGCCGCACTCCCAAGCGCCGCACTCTACCGAGTGTGCCACCGGGCCTGCCCCCAATGTCTGTCTTTTAATTAAGTATATCTTTTTGTATAATTTTTTTAAGTGGCTTCTCTATGTTGTATATATGCATGTGCACATGCATGCACACATATACAGTAGACCCTTTAACAACACAGGTTTGAACTGCCTGGGTCCACTTAAACATAGTTTTTTCCAGCCAACCGCAAGTCAAAATATAGTATTTGCGGGATGTGGAACCTCCTTATATGGTAGGCTGACTTGTCATATATGAATGTTCTGAAGGGCCCACTGTAAGACTGGAATATTCTCAGATTTTGGTTTATGCAGATTTTGGAATATGATTACCAATTGGTTCCAGGGACAACTGTACACACACACCCGTGTCACAGTTTCCTGGTATTGTCATTTACCAGTTTCAGTGATGTATCAGATTCTTACCGTCCTTATGTCCCTGTATGCTTTTCTGTTCATAAGGTACTTGCCTTAAATATTTCATTTGCATACATTTATAGCCACATCTGACAATGTTATAATTCTTGGTTGAAGCTTTAGAAAGTTTCATAATTTAGAAAAGTCAAGAGGGGAAGAAAAGTCTTTTGTATTTACCCACATTTATGCTTATCATGCTCTTTTTTCCTGCAGTTCCAAGGTTCTTTTATCATTTTCATTCGTTTGGAGCATTTCTTTATGCATTCTTTTAGTGTGGGTTTTCTGGCAACAGATTCTCTTACTTTTCCTTCATCTGATAATGTTTTGATTTCCTATTCATTCTTGAATGGCTTTTTTTGCTAGATGTAGGATTCTGAGTTAATTGTTCTTTTCTTTCAGCATTTTCAGCTGGTCTCCATGGTTTCTGATGAGAAATTTGTGTCATAGTTAAGGTGTTTTTCTTTGGCTGCTTTTAAAATGTTTTCTTTGTCTTTAGTTTCTTTGGATTCATCTTATTTATTGTATGATTCCCCTCTTGGATCTGTAGATTTATATCTCTTGCCAAATTTGGGAAGTTTTAAACCATTACTTTTTAGATTACCTTTTTAACCTCACCTTCTTTCTTTCCCTCCAGGAGTTTAATGACAGGAATGTTAGTTTTTTTGTTTAGTTCCACAGGTCTGTGGGATTGTTCTTTTTTTTTTCCCCCTTCAGTGTATTTTCTGTCCATTACTGAGTTTGAGTAACTTCTGTCTTGCAGTTCACCTATTCTTTGCTCTTTTTCCTCTATTCTACTGTTGAGCCCATTCACTGAGCTTTTTATTTTGGTTACTATATTTTGCAGTTCAAAACTTTCTATTTGGTTCTTTTTTTAAATGTCTTTTTCTTGTCTTAAGCTTTCTGTTTGTTGACTGGTTTCATGTGTGTTTGTAATTGCTCACTAAAGCACATTTGTCATGACCACTTTAAAATCTTTGCCAGAGTATTCTAACATCTCTTGTTGTGGAATTTCTATCAGTTGATTGTCTTTTTAAATTTAGTTTGAGATCTTCCTAGTTCTTGGTGTGATTGTTGATTCTCTATTGAAGTGTGGATATTTTCATGTTATGTTACGAGACTCTTGGTTTTACTTAAATCTTCTGTCTGGATCTCTGTGGCCCTCTCTGGCAGGCTAGACAGTGTACCACCTCATTACTGCCAGGTTGGGTAGAAGTCCAGGCTTCCCATGTGGCCTAAGGGCCCTTTGTTACTGTGGGGCAGAGGTGAAAGTTCTGCTGGCTCCTCAGTGGTCTCCATGATTTGTTTATTTACTCACCTGCATCTTTCAAAATTCCCACTGTAAATGACCAATGGGCTAAGCAGTCAGTATTGGGACAGGTGAAGCAGAAGGAGGATATTGGGGACCAGAGCATGTGGATGCTTAAGTATGTGGCTGCCCTCTTTGAGCTTTGGGCTTGTCTCTGGGCTTTGCAGCCAGGCAGAGGGGAAACATATTATTTAAAAGTGGAAAACATAGTGACTCTTCAGGAAGGGAAAGGCTTTTCCTAGACCTGATTTCTGGAAGAAATTCCTTTCAAGATGTGTCCTTGACAGGGCTGTCTTGTGTGTCTCATGTGAAGGTGCTCATGTGTCTGCGAGGGCTGGGGCACCTGTCAGTGGTGGGCCAGGGTCCTCGCCCCGAGGGCAGCTCAGTAAGGATGCCCTAAGAAGGGCAGGGATGTTGCTTCACCTGTAAATCTTTCTGCTTCTCCATCTGGAGCCCATTGTGCAATTTAAGGTGCTCTCCGTCTAGTTTTCCATAACTGTCAGCTCTTAGCTAATGGAGCTTTTTGATCACAAGGAGTTTATTCCAAAGCTTCAGAGCTCACATGTTACCATTTGTGCTGGACATGCTGCACCACAGTGTCTGTGAATGGGCAGAAGTGTTCCATCCCAGCCCTACCCAGGGAGCAATGAGATGTGTCCCTCTAGTGCCTTCTGAGATCTCTCCTCTCCCATGGAAAGCATATTCAGGTGATGGGTAGCCAGAAAACTGATGTCTTTCATCCAAAGGACATTGGTAGGGGTGCTGCTGTTGTCTGTCAAGATTTGAGGCCATGAAGCTGGTGACCATTGGTTTCATGGCTAATAAGTGTCAGAAACAGAACACAAGCACAGGAGAGCCTGCCTCACATTCCACCACTGGGAACTGTTCTGGTGTAGTGAATTGGTAGGAGGTAACTTAATTTACAAATCAGCTGTAGTTATCTGTACTCTTAGGCAGACTTGTGCTTAATAGAAGACCAGAATCCTTTGAATTATTCATGTGATCGTCTTCTAGCTACTTAACTAGGCAGAGAGAATAGTATAATGAAATATCACTTACTCATTGGATATTCTAACTAGTTACTCTATCTTTCTGTAAAATATTCCCATAAATGTATTACCTTTCATGAGTCATGCATAATGGATATGTTTATTGAAATGTTTTTATTTTGAATTTGGTTTCATAACATGAAAATGACAGCAAGAGTTTTTCTCTCTGTCTAGGAAATGTGCTGCTGTTAAGTACTGACTTACAGTTTTGTGTTAACAACTTTCCTGTGACGTTTACAGAGAGACAGTATACCGTGGTGGTCAAGAGTGGTTTGTGTCCTGTGCTATCTTCCTCTGTGTGACCTGGGGCAAGTTACTTAACCACTCAGTGTCCTAATGTCCTCATCCATGAAATGGATGTGTGGCATACCTCACGATGATGGGTGCGAGGATTGACTTAGCTCATCCATGTAAATTATTTAAAGCTGTTTTGGGCACATATTATGCACTTGAGTGTTGCCGGTCATCATTATACGTTTTCTCAGCATTACAACAAACCATTCCCAAGATATTGACAGGGTAGATGTTTTCTTATCCTGTTTTTTAGATGCGAATGAACTGAAGGAATGTGTTTCTGTACTGGTTAAAGAGCAGCAGGCTCTGGCTGTCCAGTCGGCCACCACCACCCTCTCAGCCCTGAGACTCAAGCAGAGGCTTGTTATCCTGGAGCGCTATTTCATTGCCTTGAATAGGACTGTATTTCAGGAGAATGTCAAAGTTAAGTGGAAAAGCAGCAGCATTTCTCTGCCTCCTGTGGACAAGAAAAGGTAAGAATAAAATGAAGAAAGAATTCTGATGACAGCTAAATATGAAATTCAGCGTGTTTTGTTTAGGAAAGTTTAATTAAAGTTTTCAATATAGGCCTTTCTTCACCTGCGGAATTTTATTCTTGCTTTCCCTTTTTGTATGTTTTGTATAACCTGGGGAATGGGCTTGCTGGTTTGCTTCTCTATAATAGGCAATTCTGCGTAATCTGTTGTTATTTTAAAGAACTTTTTCTGTCAGTAACTGTAGAAGACAGTCAGAGCTTTAGATTAGCTCAAGTCATAATTGAAAATGGGGTATGAACGTTGTATTCTTTCTGTTTTGTTTTGTGTTGTTACCATACAGGGAATAGTCAGATTGTAATTTTAGTAGTGTTTAATTTAGATGCTTCATTTTTTTCTTCCTAATGTGATTTTCTTACTCTTTTATAAGATAATGCTTTCGGGCAGGAATATGGTTTTTAATTTGTTGACATCTGTTAATATATCAGCAGATTTCCTCTAAGGTCTTAACAAACAGCCACTAGAATGTTTAAAGCTTGTGCAAAATTATATTTTTTCCAAAATGTAGCTGTCTACCAAACTTTTGTCTTCAGAAGGCTGGACTAGATTGCCAGATGGACTGGTACTTTTTCAGTTAGAATTGACTCCTGTTCAACTGTGAGAGTGACTCTGACTCCCTGCAAGCACATGCAGAATGTCAGGAGGCAGAGGAAGCAGAGAAGAAACCCCTGATCATTTTGCCCGAAACAAGAGTGCTGCGTGTAGCCTGTTGTCTTGCCTTTTTATTTATTTATTTATTTTGTCTTTTTTCGTGTCCGGCAACGGATCGCAACCCTCAGTGTCGTGCCCGTACCGGACCGGGACCGGCAACGGGATCGCAACCCTCGGCGTTGCGTCCGCACCTCGCTCAGCCAGTGAGCGGGAACCGGTCTGCATGTGGGATCCGAACCCTCGGCGGGAGCGCCGCCGCGCTCCCAAGTGGCGCACTGTAGCAGTGCGCCACTGGGCCGGCCCCTTTATTTTTAAATCTAGTTGAAATCACATTACATGTCATATTTTTAAGTATAGTTTTAGAATAAATTAGACCAAGTGAAAGATAATAGCCAGCGGCAGAGCTTTCTCTTTCCTGCCTGGCTGGCTGAAATGGTCATCAACAGTGGGCTCTGCATTTGTGGGCGGTCAGAACATGAGCCCTTGCTCTGGTGTGTTTATTGAATCAAACTGAGTGCCCTAAGATGTAGAAGTGGCTGAGAGCCCAGCTGATTCTTCCTTGTGCTCTTTGCTTTGCGATGACATAAAGATTGACTGTATCTTTCATTATATGGAGGAATTCTTAAAATTTTTAAAAAACTTTTTATTTTGACATAATTGTGAATTCACACGCACTTGTGAGAAATAGTAAAGAGATTCCTTTGGTTCTTCACCCACTTTCCGCCAGTGGTAGCACTTGCAAAACTTGATAATTGTAATAACACAATTACCACAACTAGGATATTGACTTTGTTACAATCTACCTAACTTATTCAGACTTCCTCGGTTTTACATGCTTTTGATTGTATATGTATTTCTCTGCGGTTTACTACTCATGTTGATTGGTGTGAGACCCTTGCCATAGCCAGGGTGCACAGACCAAGGCCCTTTCCGTCTACACCCACCTCTTTCTCCTCCTTCCCCCTCACCTGCGGCAGCCACTCCTCTCTTCTGTGTGCCTATTATGTATTTTTTTGAGATTGGCTTTTTTTTTTTTTTTTTTTCACTCAGCATAACACAGTTTACTCTAGATTCTTCCAGGTAGTTGCCTGCATCATTATTGTTGAGTAGCATTCTGTGGTATGGATGTACCACCATTTGTCTCAGTTGTTTCCAGTTTTGGGGTATTACAAATAGAACTACTATGAATGTGCATAGGTTTTTGTGAATGTAAGTTTTATTCTTCTGGGGTAAATGTCCAAAGGTGCAATTGCTGGGTCTTATATTTAGGCTTAAATACTCATGTAAAGAACACCAGTGTAAGAAATTGCCATGATTTTTTCCAGAGTTGCAGTATCATCCTACATTCTTACCAGCCACGGATGGATGATCCACTTTCCCCACATCCTTGTCAGCATTTGGTGTTGTTACTTTTTTATTTTAGCCACTCTGATAGATGTATAGTGGTATCTCAATTTTTGTGGATTTCTTTTCCTTGTTTCTCAACTTACTGGGTAGTGATGTATTTTACTTTTTTGTGGCATTAGCTATGGGTTGGGTAGTTGAGTGATGTGGATGGGGGTGAGTCCAAGCTATTTCTGTTTTTTTTTATTGACCATCTGTAAAATAGAGAGCGACTTGTTGAAGACTTAGCAGTTCTTACACTGTATAGGTTGGGGGCTGTGAAGCTTCTTCTCCAGGGACAGAGACCTGACTGCCTGAGGGGAACCCAGCTTCATGCTTACCCTGAGCAGCTTTCTCCAAGTCCTCCCACCTCCTCTGAACAGACTTATTTATTATTTAGCACATGTGCTTTCTGACTTAAGGACTATATGTCCTATTATGCATCTGGATCTTGTAATGTTCATATTTCTCATTCAGAAACAAAGATTCCTGTCTCCCAGACACCCATTACCTTCCTTAGAGGCAGCCAGTGACTAGGGTCTTGTGTCTCCTCTCAGGGCTCCCCACGTACTCTCCGGGCACTCACAGATGAGTGCATACAGCTGCTGCCAGGTCCCCACCTTCACTTCTAACTTTACTTGTCAGTGTGTCTCGATTATTCCATATCATTACCTGTTTTTAATAACATTTCCCCTGATTATTTTTTTATTTTTAAATTTTTTTTCCTTTTTGTCTTTTTTCGTGACCGGTAACGGGATCGCAACCCTCGGTGTCGCGCCCGTACCACGACCGGCAACGGGATCGCAACCCTTGGTGTCGTGCCCGCACCGGCTCAACCAGTGAGCAGACTGGTCTCTATGTGGGATCCGAACCCTCGGCGGTAGCGCCACCGCGCTCCCAAACCCGCACTCTACCGAGTGCACCACCGGGCCGGCCCATTTCCCCTAATTATGAAAGCAAATTTTAGTATATTTGGAAAATACAGTCTGCGGTAAAAAGTATTATATGGTATAAAGTAGAAAATAAAATTACTTGCTATGCATGGTTGAGTTTATACATGTATTTTTGTATTCTAGTTTTTTCTCTCTTTTTTTTTTGCAGGATGATTTTTATGGTATACTGTTTGTATAACTTTTTACAACATGCAGAATGAAACTGACTTGTTAAATGAACATATATTAGTAGTGAAAAGCTTAAAAAGACACATGAGGATGATAAGCAGTACATTCAGGAGAGGGTAGCTCAGCAGGGCAGACTGGAAGAGTAGGGTGAGTGCTGGGCCGTTGCCCTGCAGTGCGTAGATATAGAGCAGGGTGGCCGAGCAGAGTCCAAGGCGGCTGCTGCTGGTCTGTGTCTGCTCCGTCCTCACCTGCCTTTCCTCTGCCATGGGAGTCTTATTCCCCACCCCCACTTATGTGTTCCTCTGCATATTAATCTGCCTGCCCGAGGTTATTTCAATAGCGTTTTTCCAAGTCATTTTAAATTCTTCATAAATGCCTTTTTCTTTTTCTTAAAGAGAAAACTTTTCCTTTACAAAGGACATTCAAAATAACATTAAAAAAATTTTTTTTAAACTTGGAAGTTTTAAAAAAATGATATTAAAAATCACTTGTGATCCTGCCATCTAAAGAAAACCACTAATCACATTTTCGTTCAAATCCTTTCATATTATTATTATTATTTTTTAGTATTTGCACATTCCTCTTACTGACCAGTTATCCCAACCCCCATGTGTGTTGTCCGCAGTTCCCGGCCTACAGGCAAAGGGGTGGAAGGACTTGCCAGAGTTGGTTCCCGTGCTGCGCTCTCTTTCGCCTTTGCATTCCTGCGCAGGGCCTGGCGATCAGGTATGTGTGCCCAGCATGATGCTGTGTCCCTCCTACAGTAAGAGATCCAGCTTTCCTCCTCAGTTCTGCTGCTATACGCTCTGGAGCTGATGCCTGTGCTCACTGGGCCTCAGATTCCTTGTTTGTAAAATGAGAGGCTGCAGAGGCTGTTTGACTTTTTAGGTCTACGCTTAAAAAAAAAGTGTGCATGCGCACACCCACCCACTCACAGGTCAACTACTACTGTGGCATGCTGTAGTGCTGATTTATTTCTAGAACAACCAGAAGTTGATGTTGCTTACGTAAGAGTCATAAAATATAGAATCTACGTAGACAACTGTGTTAGTTTTTGGTCTGCTGAGTGAGGGATTGAAAAGGTGACAGTGGCATCTTCTCACGCCGAGGGTTGGGAGGCCCAGCAGAAAGTCTTTGCTTGTCAGTGCTGTGCGTGTGTGTGCCCAGGTGAGGATGCAGACCTCTGCAGTGAGCTGTTGCAGGAGTCCCTGGATGCCCTGCAAGCGCTTCCCGAGGCCTCGCTGTTTGACGAGAGCACAGTGTCCTCCGTGTGGCTGGAGGTGGTGGAGCGAGCAACCAGGTTCCTCCGGTCTGTGGTGACAGGGTGAGTGCTTTCTTTTCACCTTCTCTGCCAACCATTTCTGCATGCCTCAGCCTCGTCCTAAGCTTTTCAGATGATTTGATTTGTGATATTCTGACTTGACCCAGGAAACTGTCGTATTGAATGAGATGGAAAATGAAAGATGCTTTCACAATTTATTTTTGAAGGATATTTTATGATTCGGTGATACATCGCTTACAGAGTGTTTGAGCACTTACTGTGTGCTTCCCAGTGATAGTTAGGAGCCACTGTTCTGAGTGAGTGACAGGTGATTTGAAGTCTCGATAGGTAACATGGGAGTAAAAACTACTCAAGATCAAAATATTTAAACCTTTAGCTAGTCTTTTTAGTGTCAAACAGTTTTGAGTATGAATCATTTGTCTTTAAGGGAAAACGTGAACTTTGTTCTTGAGTGTTGTGTGTTTTTTTTCTGGTTTTTAAATGTAGAGAAAATGTACATGCTCAATGTAAAATTCAACAGCAAAGACAGAGACAGAGGAAAGGTGAGTCCCTTCCTCACTGTCCTTGTCAGAGGTCCCCACTGTGCCTCTTCCAGCCAGCAGGGAGGCCTGTGATGTCCTCCCTGGCAGGCTGTGAGTGTCCCCAGGAATGCTGAGGAAGGCATCCCCATGGAGTATCAAGGCTGGGGGCCCTGAAAATAGGCTTGGAATTAATTTCAAAAATTCAACTGTAATGTTGATGTCATAAGAACCTCCCTTCCCAATCGTGGGTTAAGAAAATTTGTGTTTGTTTCTGGATAACAAAAAAAAGTTAAAAATATTTCTTTGATTGAAGATTAAAATAAGCTTAGACATTTTGTTTATAGATTCTCAGGTGGTTTTAGGAATTTGTTCTTCTCCAATTCTGTAGGGGAATGTTGGTACTCTTACATAGCTTTATACTTCATGAAACTGGAAAAATATCTAAACATTTTTCCACTCATTTTTTGAATAATGGTATAAAATATTTTATGCTTCCAGAAACTTGGAGTATGTCTTCTAATGTAATATAGTGTCTGAATTAATACTTTTAGTAAAATATATCTTTAAAAGTTAATTGTACATTTTAAAACCTCTGAATAAATTTGAGTAGGAAGTCTCAGAAACTTGATTCTAAATATTAAAAGTATATTTTTCCATGGGAGAGAGAATATAATTGACAAGTTAGTGTGATTGTTAGTGTGCTTTCTCTGACATTGCTTTGTTCCTGCATCCACTGCTGTCATTCCAGGGATGTCCATGGAACGCCAGGCACCAAAGGGCCAGGCAGCATCCCCCTGCAGGACCAGCACTTGGCCCTGGCCATCCTGTTAGAGCTGGCTGTGCAGAGAGGCACGCTGAGGTGAGGCTGTGGGCTGGGGGCTTCTAGGAGGTGCCTCCGTGTCCTGACATCTGTTGTATTTTGTGGCACTTCATCAAATTGTTGTGACTGCAGCAAACCTGTGGTGTGGAGTAGTCAGAGAACCCTATCCCAGGGCCCTCTCTCTATTAAAGCTGGTTCCAGTTATGTTTTCTTCACTTTCTTTTTTATGCTCAGTTTTCTAGTAGTCTAGGAACTTTCTTTTTTTTTCTTCTTAATTTTCTTCAAATGATGGTTTTTATTGCATTAAGAAATCTCCCATAGAAAGTGCTATATGAATTTAACTTTTCCTATCAACAGAAGGCTGATGTGTTGCGCCAGGTTCTTGGCCTCGATTCAGTGATTGTATTGCCAGGAATAGGTTCTATGGCATTATTTTAGTTTCCTTTCATATCCAAAGTATTTGTTCACTTTTATTTAGTTGCTTGCTTTTATTTTGGATGAACTATGACAAAAAAAGTTAATGTTTTTACCAGTGAATCAATATCTTTTCTCCTTCAGCCAAATGTTATCTGCCATTTTGCTGTTGCTTCAGTTGTGGGACAGTGGGGCACAGGAGACTGACAATGAGCGGTCTGCCCAGGGCACCAGTGCCCCCCTTCTGCCCTTGCTTCAAAGGTTTCAGAGCATCATGTGCAGCAAGGACACACCACATGCAGAGGGGGACACACACGTGAGTACCGCAACAGAACTTTGTGTGTAGGTGGTACGCTTCATTCTAGTCATTTTAGAGGGTTAGTCTTTTCTAAGCAAGACCAGAGTGTACTTCCATGGCAGTGGCTGTCTCTGGAGGGGTGTATATGTGGTGAATCAGAAGAGACAGGCATGGGAAATCATGGTGTGCGTCACGTCAATGTGGTAGAACATCACATGAACTGCAGTGAGTAGCCAGAGCCAGCTGTGATCTGCAGGCCCCAGGCTCTGTGTTTTTGTTTTTGGATTTTATGTATTTAGTAGGAGGAATTTATGTCTTGACATGGGTCAGCATACTTTTAGAGAGATCCATCTACTGCCACGTGGACCATGCAGCTTACTTTCTTCTGACCAGAGCTGTTGAGCCAGCCCTTGGTGTACGTGGATTAACATTCGCATGTTCCCAGCAGCTGCCGTGTTGTGCTTTGCCTGTTGAAGGAGAATCAGTTTTAAATGCAGTGGAACATGTGAGGAAGACATGTTTACCTCCATGAAGGAGTGAGTTAGTAGAGGAATGGACAGAATTTCAGGGGCAGAGCATGAGAAGTAGGTCACTGTTGGCACTTGCAGTAAAAACGCAGGGAAGCAGTGCTGAAGCTGAAGCTCAGGGCGGTGTGCAAAGGAGCTCCAGTGGAAGGAAATAATCTATCAGGAATCTCACTGTGTCCACACTGAGGGAGTCCACACCTGCAGTCATCTCATTGTCCATGCTAGTTTCTGCTTAGGAAAGCCAGGTAGATGTCCGTCCCCCATCTCCTCCATTGTGCTGTTGTTGGAGAAGGCTCTTACCAGCGAGCCCCAACTTCATCATCAGCACAGAACCACGTGTGAAACACACACTTGTAAATAAATACCAGAAAAGAACAAGGAAAATAATGGCTTACTTTTTTTGGCCCTTTCTGTGTGCTGGGCGCTGTGGGAAGCACTTCACCTGATTGTTACTGTGTTTAGTCCCAGCCATGCTCTTTATAAGGGTTGCGTGGAGCTGGGGAGGAGCAAGGGTGCCGGCCCTGGCCTGAACCTCAGGATGTTGCTCTTCACAGGCACAGAAAGACTTAGCCATTCTTCAGAATGAATGACTTTGCCTAATTTATTATTTGTCAGTCTTTAAACTGATAATAATAAGGCTCTTCTGTCTTTAGAATAATTAGAACTCTGACTTAATTTGCAAATAAAATTAGGTTTTCTCCAGAGTGGGCAACATTTAGATTAAAATAAGGGGTTTTTGTTTTTAGTTTTCAAAGCCAGGTGGAAGTGCTGTGCTGTGTTTCTGTGGAGCCTGTCCTGGTACCTCTGGGGTCCTGGGCCATGTGCCTGTAGGGTGGTTTGGCAGTGTTAGTAATCCATGTGGAGTAATAAATGTATAGGTGTACAGTCAGTGTTGTGTGTGTTTATACAGCAGGTGTGTAACTGTTATCATTAACCTTGTCATTTGGCCAAAACGAGCAGATTCACAGATAACGCATAACTGTAAATACCAAAATGTAAAGAGTAGTTAAAGCTAATCGTGTTACTTTAATGTTTTCCAACATTTCTGAATGTTTGTTTACTTTTCTTCTCCTAGCTTTTATCTGGCCCTGTGAGCCCCAACGAGAGCTTCCTCAGGTACCTCACTCTTCCGCAAGACAACGAGCTAGCCATTGATTTACGACAGACAGCGGTGGTTGTGATGGCCCATTTAGACCGCCTGGCTGCGCCCTGCATGCCTCCACTGTGTAGTTCACCAACATCACACAAGGTTTGTGCCAGAGCAGTTTTCTTTATGTGTTCGGTAGTTAGTGCCGTTCCCAGAGTCTCCTGGTTGTGTGTGGAGACGTACTTTTTTGGTATTGGTGGTGGGAGCTAGCTTATAGTTTTTAAACCTACAGTTTAAGGTATTGTCAATGGTCAGAGGGAGTGATGAGCAAGTGGAAGTGCACAGAGCTTGAGGACCCCATGTAGGGTTCCGGGTTCAGACTCAGGTCACGTGTCCCCAGAGAGCTCAGCTTGATCCACACCACCTAGGCCATCCTGCCCTTTGCAGGCAGGTACCAGAGCCTGAACGTGGGCTGTCCTAGAAAGTAATGCTGCTTATAAAAGTCACGAGTGTGTTTACGTGGCATATATTAGGTGCATGATGTATAATAGTAATGGTAATAAGTAGTGATCTATGTGTGTGGGGAACCTGTGTGTGCAGGCCCCAAGAGGACCTCATTTATGCTATCACATCTGATCATCACAGCGTATTCCCATTGTATCTATGAGAAAACCACAATTTGGAAAGGTAGTATACTTTGTCGGGGGTCACACAGAGAAAAACCTGGTTTTGAATCCAGGTTTCTCTAACTTTTTATTTTTAATACGTAGAGTATTTGTTTAATTTTATTGTCATATTTTTTCAAATAAGTAATAAAGTCACATAGTTCGAAAAATCAAGATTATATGCAAAGACACATGGTCCCTTGCACCCATCTATGCCTGTTCTCTACCTGCTTGTTCTCACTTTTCTGGTCTGCTCTATAACTTCTCATTGTTCTCTGGAATGAATATCTTAGTGGTGGCATGTTACATTACTTTTGTAGCTTGTTTGTTTCACTAAAAATATATAGGGGAGAGCTTTCTGTATCAATTAACATAGTTTCTCTATTTTTTGTAAAGCAGCTTAGTATTCCATGTGTGGGTGTATCTGGTTTTTTTTTTTTTTTAATGAGTCTCCTATTGGTGGACCCTTGGGTTATTGCCAGTAACCAATAGTGTAACAAATAGTAAAACAAATGGTGCTATAGTGACTGATCTCTTATGTGTGTTTCTCTGTGCATGTGTGTGTGTGTGCATGTGCACACATGTGCCTGTGCACAAGTACCAGAAGCCTGCATCTGTTGTGGGCTGGTTATCACAATTACCCTATACAGCCAGGGGTATATGTTTCCCTGCCTTGTGCTTGGGATCTTGGGTGTTTGCCTGTTTTGGTGCAAAATGGTAGCCTGGTATAGACTGAGTATTTTGAGATATATTTAGGGGTCATTTGTATTACTTTTTAATGGTCTCTGTAAAAATGAGATGCTGTGGAAAAATAACCTGTTCAGTTGCTTCATCTTACCCGTTAACTGAGGTAATGCAGAATGTAATGAATTGTTTTGATGTTTTGAAATGGCTGCTGCTTTTCCTTTACTTACTTTGTTTTTAGCTTATAGTATCTCAGTGTTACTCCTGGATATTTTCTTGCTGCTGTAAAGAAACGTTTACTTATTTTCTCATGTTACAGGGATCATTGCAAGAAGTCATAGGTTGGGGGTTAATAGGATGGAAATACTATGCCAATGTGATCGGCCCAATCCAGTGTGAAGGCCTTGCCAACCTGGGGGTCACACAGATCGCCTGTGCAGAGAAGCGCTTCCTAATCCTGTCACGCAATGGCCGTGTGTACACACAGACCTACAACAGCGACACACTGGTGGGTGTTCTGCGAACTGTGCCTGCATGCTTCCCTCAGTGGGTGGGGTCTCTACTTCAGATGCTGTTAGGTCTGGTCTTTCTTTAAGTCATTTTATTTCTGAAGGTTAATAAGCCTCTGTTCATTGATACCATTAGGCATGATTAATCTCAGTCATTATCATTATTGCCCAGATTTTGGGTTGCTAAGATCAGGAAATCCTTATAGTGAAACCCATTGCCTATCATGATTCCTGTTTGTAAACCAGCTTTCCATGTGTAAACTCATTTGACTGTGGGGCCCCATGTGGGGATAAATTGGGACATGCATTTTCCATTAAAAGAAGGTACTCCAAGCAGTGTCAACACTGTGCACGCCTCAGAACACTGGGAGGCTATCTGCTGCTTCGTTGGTGCTGGGTGGGGTGGGCTGGGGAGCTGGCCAGCAGCGCCAGAGGCCCAGGCTCTTTCATTTGCAGCAGGGTTTGTTCAGGGAGATGCATTTGTAGAGAGGGATGCTGTTTTCATTAGCCTTTGACTGATGGCTGCCTTTCTTCCTGTTTTCACCCTTTTAGGCCCCACAGCTGGTCCAAGGTCTTGCCTCCAGAAACATTGTAAAAATTGCTGCTCATTCCGACGGTCACCACTACCTGGCCTTGGCAGCCACTGGAGAGGTGTACTCCTGGGGCTGTGGGGATGGAGGACGGCTAGGCCATGGGGACACTGTGTATGTATGGTTCATTCCTGTAACTGACATGCTTTCCTTTTATATTGCCATGTCCAAAACAGGATGGAAAATAGAAGTGTGTCTGGGTGGGTTCCAGCTGTTCCGCCGACACGTAGGGCTAGGGTGGAAAGCGATGCCATGATGTGTCTGCTCCTTGTGACTGCTTGGGGTCCCCACCCACAGGTAGAAGGTGACATGAATTGGCCTTCCTTCTCTTCTCCTCCAGCTGCAGCAGCTACTTTTTGCTACTCCTGTTTTAACTACTCTAACAGCAGCCCCACCATGGAGTTTTCTAAACCCCCTTCATCCATACTTTGCCATGTCTCTAATATAGAAAGTCCTCCTTTCCTTGAACTATAATATCATTTTCACAGGTGCAAAAATCAACAGTTTCTCAATATCTTATTTAGCAGAAGCTTTTGATTACTGCTCACAAGCCACTGGGCAGAATCCCAAACCATGAGAAAAGCAGAAGGTTGTATACCACCTTGTACATTTATACAAAATTCAGAAGTGCCCCAAACTTGACAGTGTTGCAAGGGATTCAGACAAACTGTAGTGAAAAATAAAGGAATGATAACCACGGAATTTAGAGTTGTGGTTACTCTCAGCCTGGAGGAGGGTGGGGATGGCATGGGGCACACAGGACTTGAAAGGCAGTGAGGGATAGGACAGGGGCACAGGGATTCTGTTAGTGTTTTTATTTCCTTTATGGTATTTACTAGGTATAAAATATAATAAAATAGCTCTCAGCTGGGCCGGCCCGTGGCTCACTCGGGAGAGTGTGGTGCTGATAACACCAAGGCCCCGGGTTCGGATCCCATATAGGGATGGCCGGTTCGCTCACTGGGTGAGCGTGGTGCTGACAACACCAAGTCAAGGGTTAAGATCCCCTTCCCGGTCTTTTTTTTTAAAAAAAAAGACCGGGAAGGGGATCTTAACCCTTGACTTGGTGTTGTCAGCACCACGCTCACCCAGTGAGCGAACCGGCCATCCCTATAAGGCCCCGGGTTCGGATCCCATATAGGGATGGCCGGTTCGCTCACTGGGTGAGCGTGGTGCTGACAACACCAAGTCAAGGGTTAAGATCCCCTTCCCGGTCTTTTTTTTTAAAAAAAAAGACCGGGAAGGGGATCTTAACCCTTGACTTGGTGTTGTCAGCACCACGCTCACCCAGTGAGCGAACCGGCCATCCCTATAAGGCCCCGGGTTCGGATCCCATATAGGGATGGCCGGTTCGCTCACTGGGTGAGCGTGGTGCTGACAACACCAAGTCAAGGGTTAAGATCCCCTTACCGGTCATCTTTTTAAAAAAAAAAAAAAAAAAGCTCTCAGCTGAGATTAAGTGCTAGGATGAGCAACTTGTCCCTTGCTCTAGGAATTCAGGGAAAGAACTCCTAGAGCAGATGGCAGGAATTGGAGAGAAACTTTAGGGGGAGTTGAAGCTTGAGCTGAACTAGAAGGGAGAGGTTGTACGAGAGTAGGCTTGTTTGGCTGTCCCTGTGTGCACCCGCGCCTCTGTGTGCATTTGTTGTGCAGATTAGTGGGTCACAAAGTGAGTGACTTTGGCTTTGAAGGGGCCAGTATGGGCTTGTATAGATTCTCAAGAAAATATTAACAGTCATAGGAAACATATTGTGGATTATAAGCATAGGACATGTTATTAATTTTGAAATTTCTTCACCTAGTAAGACTTTTCTATCCTAATCCTTATTGCTTCATATTTTTCATTTGTAAAACATAGATAGCGCATGTACCTTAGTAAACCCTCTGGCTTCCTTCTGTCCACACTTACTTAACAAATACATGAGGTTTACATATAATCAGATGCATCAATTTGAAGTGTACAGCTGGACGGGTTTTGGCAAGTGCATGCAGTTGGATAACTACCACGATCAGGATTCAGGGTGTTTCTACTGCTTTCAGGGCTCTCCTTGTACCTTTGCCATAGATCCCTGCTCCCCACCTCCATCTCCTGGCATCCTCTGACCTTCCTTATATTGCTATTAATTTTTCTTTTCCAGAATTTAATATAGATGAAGTCATATAGCATATAGTACTTTGTTTCTGGCTTCTTTCACTTAGCATAGTGCTTTGAGATCCAGCAATGTCGTTGGGCATATCAGGAGTTCATTCCTTTCTGTTGCTGATGGAACACAGTTTTGGACCATTGTGAATAAAGCTGCTGTGTACTGTATCATACAAGTTTTTTTTTTTTTCCTTTTTGTCTTTTTTACTGACCGGTAACGGGATCACAACCCTCGGTGTCGCGCCCGTACCGGGGACCGGCAACGGGATCGCAACCCTCTGTGTTGCACCCGCACCGCGCTCAGCCAGTGAGCGGGAATCGGTCTCCACATGGGATCCAAACCCTCAGTGGGAGCACCGCTGCGCTCCCAAGCGGCACACTCTCCAGTGCGCCACCGGGCCGGCCCATCATACAAGTTTTTAACAGAGACTCTTTTTATATTCCTGCTGGATACCATGCTGGCATTGGGTTCCAGCTTAACAAAAAGTCATGGAGGTGTCAGGTGTTTGAATTCTCTCTTCCTTAATTATTTCATAATGTACTTGAAAGGCGAAACTGTCCTGATGCTGGGATAGTGTATTACTGATAGTGAATTTTCTTTGCTAACACAGATAAGAAATGCCAAGAGCATGTTCACATTTGTTCCCTTCCTCCCTGCAGTCCTCTGGAGGAGCCTAAGGTGATCTCCGCTTTCTCCGGGAAGCAGGCCGGGAAGCACGTGGTGCACATTGCATGTGGGAGCACATACAGCGCAGCCATCACTGCCGAGGGGGAGCTGTACACCTGGGGCCGCGGAAACTATGGCCGTCTGGGCCACGGTACGTCTGCCCCATGCGAACATGAGCGTGTAGTCGGGGTTGCTTCTTCTGGGAGGACTTGAGTAACGATAGTCCTGTCTGTTTGAAGGCTCCAGTGAGGATGAAGCCATTCCAATGCTGGTTGCTGGGCTTAAAGGACTGAAGGTCATCGATGTGGCATGCGGGAGTGGGGACGCTCAAACCTTAGCTGTGACCGAGAATGGTAGGTAGAGTGCACCCCACTCTGGGCAGGCTCTCGAGGACATTGATGGCTACTTTCCTGGAGGGAGTGAAATTTGGAGTAGAGGGAACCTCATGAGGCTGCCCTGCTCTGTTGTCTGCCTTTAAGTGGGTGCGGTTCTCATTGGCCTTGGTGAAGAAGCCAGGGATGCTCCAGGACTTAGGCTTGCCTGGAGCCAGATAATGTTATTGGTTCTACCCTTCCTATGTGGGCATTTTATGTTTTAACTAAAATGAGAGTTAAAATGGAATAATTGACATTCTGAATCATCTCTGGTTATTGTTACTACATTTCCTAATGTTCACCCACTCTTAATTCCCTGTCATAAATCCTGATTAGTCTCTATGTATTCCGTAGTCTTATGTTACACGGTTTGATTGTTTTTTGTGTGTGGTGGTGGTGGAATAGGAAGTCAGCTTTATTCAGGAATACCCGTGACCTGAGGAGAGATATTAGGCTAATCCATCTCTCCTGTTTGCTTGTTTTTAATTTTAGTTTTGTGTTTATGTTCGTTAGTGAGAGTGTACTAATTTTTTTTTTTTGAGGGTACATTCATCAGATTCAATGGCTAGAATCACCTTGATTTTTTTACAGATGTATTTGTCTGTCAGTATTCTGGCATCGTGGTGACTGTGAGAATCTTAGCCTGCTCTCTCCTGCAGAGTTCGAATGGCAGATTGAGAATTGACTGACTTTTGGGAGTTCCTTTGGTGAAAGAGTAAAGATCATTTCAGGCACTTTCATATACATAGAGATCCTATTGCCACTGGTGGATAGATGAGGTCATAGTCATCTTGCTCCGGCTATGAAGTGTTCTGGAGCAAAGATGGTCTCATCTGTCATCTAAAAGGCCCCTTCTTCTGGCAGGAAGCTTTCAATTTGACATCTCGTCTTCGTTTTTAAATATCCTTACAGATTTAATAATATACCCTACAGAACTTTTAACCAGGAAGCTGCATTAGGATATTGTCCCTGCATTCTTTGTGTGAAATTGCTATGTTAGTAAAGCTTTGTGGTGATGTATCTTCTTTAAATAGAGCCATGGACATTGCCCACCTTACACTGGTGTTTCTTTGGTACAACTTTTACACAAGCGTGCTTCAAAAAGTTCATAGAAATATTTGTGTTTTTCTATGAACTTTTTGAAGTACCTTGTAGGGAAATGTCCCTGCCACACTAATATTTTTTGAGGTCTGATACAGAAGAAACATCCTGCTTTGTGCAGTGTGGCCTGAGGTGATGGGCTCACTGAAAACATTGGGGAGAGTGGGGAGTTACCACGTGGGATATGGGAACAACATAATTTTAGCCAAAGCATATAAAAGTACACACACTGTCTAAAGTTTCTTTCATTGACACCTGATTTTAGTTTAGGTTAGGCGGTGGCGTGTTTTGCACATAGAGTCATGTTGGAATGCAGCCATGCTAGCTCGTTTGCATGTTGTCTACAATTGCTTTTGTGTGACAATGGCACAGTTGGGTAGTTGTGACAGAGACCATATTACCCACAAAGGCTAAAAATATTTACATCTTATCTTTGGAGAAGATGTTAGCTGATCTTTGGTTTAGATTATTTAGAATGGGAACTTAGTCACTTATGTAACAATCTGATTTTTTCTAATTTCTTTTAACCGTTTTTACCTATACATAATTTAACCATTTTTTTAAGCAATTCATTTTATTGAGTTTTTAGAAAGTATCTAGCTTAGTTTTCAGATTAAAAAAAGATACTTATTTTTGCAATTGTATTTCATCCTTTTATGTAATATTTAATCAACTTACATAATCTCGCTGACAAGTGCAATTGGGAGCAAATTCGGTGGTATGGGGGCCTGTGGTCAGCATGTTCGTGGTCATATGACCTTGGTCAGCAAAAGCGTGCAGGCAATGAGTGAGAGGCCAGTGAGCTCCCACAGTGTGCTGGGGCCTCAAGGACAGTGTTCTGTGGAGGCAGGGGAACTTTGGTTCTCTGTTCAGTACGTAGTTGAAGGAGTATCACTGAGCTCAAACTCGTAAGAGTCAGGACTTTGTTTTTCATTTTATTAAAACAAAAAGAAGACCTAGCTTTTCCTTCTTAATTGCTTTTGTATCAACCTGTAGTACAAACTAGATTTCATTTGGTCAGTAACCACCTGAGTCGTGTTAACTATATACATTGCTGGTTTAGATTTATGTACATTACTGGTTATATTATTTTCAGCCATTTAAAATTTTCCATTAAAATGTATGGTTATTTGTACTTAAATACATTTGTATCTTTTAGGGCAAGTGTGGTCTTGGGGAGATGGCGACTACGGGAAACTAGGCAGGGGTGGTAGTGATGGCTGCAAAACGCCGAAGCTGATTGAAAAACTTCAAGACTTGGATGTTATCAAAGTCCGCTGCGGAAGCCAGTTTTCGATTGCTTTGACGAAAGATGGCCAAGTTTATTCATGGGGAAAAGGTGACAACCAGAGACTTGGCCATGGAACGGAGGAACACGTTCGTTATCCCAAACTCTTGGAAGGCTTGCAAGGTGAGTGAAAATGTAAACTTTTAAAACCCTTTAGGGTAGTTTCTTTAGTAATCTTTTAAAGTTAGCAGTTTTTTTTTTTTTCTTAACCTGACATTCCTTGAATGGACTGTCTTTTGAAACTTTTACCGATATCTTGGTAGGTATGTAAGATAATTAAAAAGTAGTTTGTCTTTGTTAAAAAGTGGCCTTGAATTATATTCACCAAATTAAATTGGAAACCCATTCAGTTTCCTATCCTGGAGAGCTCTTTCTGTGCTGGACACCTGCTCAGTGGACTTGAGGAGGGTAGCTTCTGTCTGGTGAGGCTGCATGTACTTTGACCACAGACGCTGCTGAGACCGTGGATATGCATTGTGCTGTGTGGCCACTGTGGGAGGTGGGATCAGGTCCACTTGGGGTGGTTTCCATTTGAACCTGTCCTTGGCAGGTGAATCCTGCTTGGGTGGTTGAAAAGCCATCCAGCATGTGCTGTGGGTAGAGGGAATAAGTGGGAGCCATGGCACCTGGGCATGCAGGTGCCTTCACAGTGTGGCTGCCAATACAGGCAGAGAGGAGGACAGGAGCATCTGCAAGAAGACCCTGAGGTGCTGTTATGGCACTCTCACTAGGGATATTATACTATGGGAAGTGGGGGCCATCAAAAGCATGATGATCGGTCTGTTGGAGGAATTTTTTTTAGGGGGAAACTGGGTTTTTCTACACCCCTTGGCCTGGTGTTTGGTAGGTAGTCTCCATCCTCATGGAGAGCTGGTGAAGTACAGGCGAGTTGACAGGAAAGCAGGGAAAAAAGGAGAGGTTGGTGAGACGCATCAGATGGGGTCATTACTGTTTTCTTTATTTCGGGAGTGGGCATCCTTTTCTTAAAGGGCCAGATTGTAAGTATTTTAAACAAATGGGCCTAGCTAAGTTCCAACACAAGTTTATTCACAAAAACAGGCCTTTTGCTGCATTTGGTGCAAGGGCTATAGTCTGCTAGATCTCTGCATTAATACATTCTTCTTTGTTAATGTTTTTGCTTTTTTATCAAGGGGGTTTGGATGTGGGATTTTTTTTTTTTTTTTTTTTTTTTAAAAAGATGACCGGTAAGGGGATCTTAACCCTTGACTTGGTGTTGTCAGCACCACGCTCAGCCAGTGAGCGAACCGGCCATCCCTATATGGGATCCGAACCCTTGGCCTTGGTGTTATCAGCACCACACTCTCCCGAGTGAGCCACGGGCCGGCCCTGGATGTGGGATTTTTAAGAGACTTGCCAGTTCCTTTCCCCATCGGTTTTATTGTAAAGCATGTTAATACCTTGATGACTAGGAGTTCTGTGTGCTCATTTGATGTTTATTATTTTCCAAGTTATCTGAAAGAAGTTGTCGAGTACTGCATATTATGAAACTGTGTTTGAATTCCATTTGCTGCCTTCTTTGTATCCCTTTCATTAGTGAAGGAAATCAACTTCCTTAGCTACATTTATTAGATACAGAAATAGCTTACTATGAGAGTATTTGAATTATTGTTGATATAATCTTTGTTGTTGTTGTTGCTGTTAACTTATGTAGGCTCTTAGGGTAGAATTGTTCCCCTTATTGTAGCAGATTTTTCAGCTGAATCATTTTATATGTTGACATTTCTCAGAAACACGCCTTGTGTTGGTCATGTTATATTTACTAATAAGGACAAATACAGTATTTTGCTAACACAATTCAGATAGAAAAACTTTTTTTTTTTTTTTTTTTTGTCTTTTTCTGTGTCCGGCAACGGATCGCAACCCTCAGTGTCGCCCCCGTACCGGACCGGGACCGGCAACGGGATCGCAGCCCTCGGTGTTGCTCCCGCGCCTCGCTCAGCCAGTGAGTGGGAACCGGTCTGTATGTAGGATCCGAACCCTCGGCGGGAGCGCCGCCGCGCTTCCCAAGCAGCGCACTATAGCAGTGCGCCACCGGGCCGGCCCTAGAAAAACTTTTTTATGTTTATATCATATGACTTGGGGAGAAAAATAGATTTTCATTTAAGAAAAATTCCTCAGTGAAGCATGTGCTTTGCATGGTTATACCTGGAACAGGAGAATATGATCTAATAGTTAATTAAAAAATATACCTGTCTCTCTCTGAATGAAAACATTAATAAGGACAAGAAAAAAAATAACTGGTCCTTTTCATACCCTAGCATTATTTTGTTTATAGGCTGTGGGTCTTAATAAATTGTAGCTGGTGAGATATGAGTTCTAATAATGTACTCAGAGCAAATGAATTGTACTTAGTATGGAAGCAACGAATTATCCCTAAGGAGTTAATATTAAATGCCTTGTGACCTCAGTGGCCTGGTGTAAGTATCTTTATTGCAACGGTAGTCATGGGCTTGAAGCTGCATCTGCATGCTCTTTCCTTGTAGGGAAGAAGGTGATTGATGTGGCGGCAGGCTCTACCCACTGCCTGGCTCTGACTGAGGACAGTGAGGTCCACAGCTGGGGGAGCAACGACCAGTGCCAGCACTTTGACACCTTGCGTGTGACCAAGCCAGAGCCCACTGCACTGCCAGGACTGGACACTAAGCACATAGTTGGAATTGCTTGTGGGCCTGCCCAGGTACTGAGTATATAGCTTAGTTTTGTATTTTGTAGAATATTGGATTATAGTTGTTCATTGCTAAGTACAGAGTAATACCATTGATTTCTGTGTGTGGTTCTTAGGCTCTGTAGTTGTACTACATTTACTTAGTATAACATTCTAGGAGTTTTGCTGTAGTTTTGTTGGCATTTTTTTTCATAGACAGTTATACTGTGTGTGTATAGACAGAGACAGTTTTATTTCTTCCTCTGCAATCTGTATGCCTTTCATGTCTTTTCCTTGCCTCTTGCCCTGGCCAGGCCTTCAATGTGATGTGGATAGGAGAGGTGAGAGGGTCCCTGCCTTGTTCCTGATCACAGAGGGAAAGCATTCAGTCTTTCACCAACTGTGATGTTAGCTTTAGGATATTTTAGTAGATACCTTATTATCAGATGAAGGCAGTTTCCTTTAATTCCTATTTTTTTTTTGAAATTTTTTATCCTGAGTGGATGTTGAAATTTGCCAGATGCTTTTTCTTCTCAAATGATGTCATGTAATTTTCTTCTTTAGTCTGTTAAGATGTTAATATGGTGAAATGCATTGATTGACTTTCAAATATTGACCAAGCCTTGCGTTCCTGGGATAAACCTCACATAGTTGTGTGTATTATTCTTTTTATATATTGCTTGATGTGGTTTGTTAATACTTTGCTGAGGATTTTTCTGTTGATGCTCCTTAGGGATATTAGTTTGTGGTTTTCTTTTCCTGTGTTGTCTGGTTTGATTTTATATCAGGGTAAAGTTGGTCTCATAAAAAGTAGGCAAGTCTACTGCTTTCTAGAAGAGATTATGTAGAATGAGTGTGTTTTTCTTCTTTAAACATTTGTCTGTGAATCCCTCTTAGCCTAAAGATTTCTTTTTCAAAAAGTTTTATACTACAAATTCAACTTCTTTAATAGATATAGGACTATTCAGGTGATCTATTTCCTCTTGGGTGGGTTTTCCTGGTTTGTGGCACCCAAAGAGTTTTATCTTAGTTGTTTGACTTTTGTGTATAAAGTTTTCCTTAATATTCTCTTACTAACATTTTGAAGTCCATAACGTTGTTACCAGGCACAGGTCTGGTTGCCTGCCCACTTTCAAAAGCAAATCACTCCAAAGTCAAATTGTTGGTGAAAATGGAAGTCAGCTTTTATTCAGGAATTCAGGTGACCTGAGGAGAGATGTTGGCTAGTCCAACTCTCCAGTAAACCTGAAGGAGAATGGACAGACTAAAGCCATCTTGGAGACTGAGATTTATTGAGGTGTTTTTAAAGAGGGTGGTAAGGGAATCGAACATGGGAAGTGAGAAGCAAGAGGGAGGGGGACGTGAGCTGTGGAGGCTTCATACAAGGTCTCAGGTACAAGTTCTCGCTAAGCCTCCGTCTCATTTCTGCTCCTGTCCTTGCTGTTATCTCATGGTCCTGCTGGAGGCGTGGAATCAGCATAGCTTTACTTAGTTTCCCTTGAGTAGTACATGCAAGTTTGCAGCTCTAGGCTAACTGGAAAACAACTTTACATTCATGTAAATAATGTCATCTTGCCCCATAACCAAGGTTCAAAATATCAAATAACCATGGGAAAAGAGGGAACTCAGAGAAACACATGCCAAGGGAAAAAACTGTCCTTTTAAAATCTTTTAGACCCCATGTGGTTTTAGGTCCCAGCATGGCTTCAGTCCTGCTCCCTCCAACAGCATGTGCAGTGATATTCCTTCTTTTATCCCTTATACTGGTAATTTGTGTCTTTTCTCTTTTTTGTCAGTTTTGCTAGAGGTTTATCAATTTTGTTGATCTTTTCAAAGAACCATCTTTTAGTTTTGTTAATTATTCGCTTATATTTTGCTCTCAATTTTGTTGATTTTTGCTCTGTTATTGTTTTCACTTTCGCTTGCTTTGAGTTCACTTTGCTCTTTTTCTAGTTTGTTAAGGTGAAAGCTTAGATTGTTGATTTTATACCTTGTTTTGTACTATAGAAACATTTGATGCTATAAATTTCCCTCTAAGCAGAGCTTTAACTGCATCCACAAAGTTTGGTATGTTTTCATTGTGTACAATTCAACATATTTGCTAATTTCTCTTTCATTAATGGATTATTATGTTGTTTAATTTCTAAGTGGTTGGGAATTGTTCTGTTATCTTTGCATTACTGATTTCTATTTTAATTTTATTGTGGTTGGAGAACAAACTACATGATTTCAGTTTTTAAAAATTTTTTAAGATGTGTTTTATGCTCAGGATATGCTCTATCTTAGTGAATGTTCTGTGTGTTCCTAAAAAGAGTATGTATTTTGCTGTTGTTGAGTGAAGTGTTCTATCAGTGTCGATTAGAACCGGTTGATTGATGGTATTGTTTATTTCTTCTAGATCCTTGATGACTTGTTTGGTGTCTTACTAGGAGGGTAGTGTACATGTACCTAACATTTCATTGTCTACTTAGAGTTACTACCGTACCACTTCAAGTGGTTGAGATCCTAACTGCCAAAAAATTTGAGAATGAAAAGATTTTTAAAAAACTTTTTACTTTTTTAGGTGTGCCAAAATGAAGTGATGCTAGTGAAATGGGAGAGGAAACTGGAAGCTGGTAGTGAGTGAGCTAGACAGCTGTGACAGCACATATACATTCAGGCAGCTAGAACGATGAATAAGTAATAATGTCAGGTGCCTTTGTCATGCATAGTGGTGAGTCTCTCCTGCAACAGACCAACTGCTGAATTTGAAGATTCATTTTAGGTTCTTATGTTTCTTCCGTAGAGCTTTGCTTGGTCATCTTGTTCTGAGTGGTCCATTGGCCTCCGTGCCCCTTTTGTGGTGGACATCTGCTCAATGACTTTTGAGCAGCTGGATCTCCTGCTGCGACAAGTGAGTGAGGGGATGGATGGCACCGCTGACTGGCCCCCACCTCAGGAAAAAGAGTGCATGGCCGTGGCAACGCTGAACCTTCTACGACTTCAGGTGTTAAGGATTTCCCTTCCTCCTGCTCCTCTTATTAGTGTCTTAAAGATTTGTAAGAATGTTTACACATATTGAAGGGTGTGGGTTTTAGCCCTTAGGGTAACTGCTAATGAAAATTTTAAAGTATTTTAAAGTAGGATTGTGATAGAGTAGTGTGAATGAGACTTAAAAAACCTTTGGTCTGGTTATTTTACGTTTATCCTGGAACCAGCCTCTGCATGCAGGTAAGGGTGTGTATGGGTTGTGTTATTTCTGCTGTAATCAGCTTGGAGGCATTCATGGGGGAGGCAGTCTTGGATTTACTGTTGTGTGTGGAGAAACGACTGGGTAAGTGACACATGAGGTGAGGGACCAGTGCCAGCCTTTCTCTCCTCTGGACTGCAAAAGATTTACTCAGTAGGCTTGGCTCCAACGGCAGTACCTTCATTTCCTCACAGTGAAGGTTATGGTTAAGGTCAAAATAAAGCTTACAAAAATCTTTCTTTCTTCCTTTCCTTTCTCCTTTCTGCCCTTCCTCTGAAATTTTTGGTCATTATATTTTTCTTTGACTTTATTTTTTTAATTTTTTTATTTTTTGGTTTTTCGTGACTGGTAAGGGGATCGGAACACTTGGCTTGGTGTCCTCTGCACCGTGCTCAGCCAGTGAGCGCACTGGCCATCCCTATATAGGATCTGAACCTGCGGCAGGAGCGCCACTGCGCTCCCAGCGCCGCACTCTCCCGACTGAGCCACGTGGTTGGCCCATATTTTTCTTTGACTTTATGATAAGATCCTGTAACTTAATAACAACAATGTAGTTTTCAAAAATTTTTCTTTTTACATCTCTTTAATTGTTCATAAGTTTTTAAATTTGATTTCTGAACTCTAGGGGCTAATCATGTTAAAAAATTATTTGCTAATTCCACAAAGCATTATGTTAATCATGTACCCCTTTGTCCCAAATATGTAGGGGATTATAGGATGCATTAAACCTAAATGCACTCTTTTCACCTTTAGTGTTGTAATTGTCAGGCACTCTCTTATTACATGGGATCTAGGACACTGATTTTGTGTGCCTCTGAAAGAAAAATGCTCTCAGGTACAGTTCTTAAGATACATTCTGACTTTAGAGATGTTAAGACATGAAAAAAAAGTACCTTTTAGGAGTAGGGAAATTTTTAAACTTCCCTCCAATTAATTATCATCAACATTTTTAACAGGCCCTACTGACTCAGATAGGTAGGCTTTTTGCTTTTTAGTAAGCAGTTTGTTTTCTCATTGTTGCTTATGTTCCTCCTCTCCTGGGATCAGCTGGTTTCCTTCTTGCTGAGGTTCCTCTGGTAAGTTTCTGCATCAAGGTCTGTGACAAATAGTCTGAAAAATAAAAAAATCTGTTAACTTCACCTCTCTTGAGATAATTCAACAGGCTTAGCTTTTAGGTTACCTGTTACTTATCAGCACTTCGATGATGTTCTGCTGTCCTCTGACTTTTATTGTTGCTGATGAGAAATCCTACATTAGTGTAATTGCTATTTCTCTGTAGCCAATTTCTCTTTGGTAGCCTTTCAGATTTTTCTCTTTGCAATTTTAATACATTATTTCTAGGTGAAGATTTATTTTTGTTTGTATAACCTTGAAGTTATGATTCTCATTCAATCTGAGATTTTGTACTATCATTGTTTTGAGAAATTTTCACTATTTACCATTGAAGTTGCTTTGTCCTTTTTTATCTGCTTTCCTCCTGTAGCAGGCCTACTAAATATATGTTGAACTTTCTCATTTTATCATCCCAAGGGTCACAACTTCTTTGATGTTTTTCATCTCTTTTTCTTTCTGTTCTGCCTTCTGGGTGATTTACTCAGCTGTTTCTTCCAATTCACAGATCCTTCCATTATTAGCTCAGTGTCCCTTATTACTGAGTTGTCCATTGATTTAACAAATACTTATATGGTAGACACTGTTTAAAATTGTCTGGTTAGGGCAATGGTCAGAATCCTGCTAATGTAGTCAATTTTCGGGCTAGGGCCCACAGACCCTTCAAACCTGTTGTACAGACTGGGTCATAGACCTTTCACATGCCAGGATCGGTCACCAGACCCCTCACATGCAGGTCCATGAGCTAGGTAATGGGGAAGGCTCTTGGCAGCTGTTGACAGATGACACGAACTCAGTCCTCAGCTTCCTCAGCAGCAGCAGCAGCAGCTTACAGCAGCCTCCAGCAGCAGTGGTGGTGGCCTCCCAGAGGGTCCTAGGTACCCCGGCAGCAACAACTTCCAGCAGCAGTAGTGGCCTCCCCGTGGCCCTCCCGAGGCACCATGGATCAGAGTCACTCGTCCTTTATACTCAAGTCTGATAACCCAGGATACCTGGGTGTGACTTAGACAACCCAGGAACACCTGGGTGCACATGCGCAATTACCTTAGACAATAACCAAGGAACAGCTGGGCACAGGTCCATATTTATATCAAATGCTTGGCAAAATTCTGAACATCTGAGGAAGACCTGGCCATTTTCTTTTACTTTCCCTACAAAAATGCTTAGCAAATGTTAACTCATCAAATCCATGTAGCAGCCCTGTGAGAGGTGGGAGCCTTGGTCTGTGTTACACAGACAGGGAAGGGCATCGGGCTCCATGTGTCTGGCAGCTCCAGCTTAGAGCCCGGGGCCAGGCTCTGCACACTTCTGTCTAGAAGGTTTTGTTTCCAAGGGTTTTTCTTAGTTCTAGAATTTGGTCTTTTTCAAGGCTTTCATTTTGCTCATTATATTCTCATCTTCTGGATTCTGTTCCTTCTTTGACCTCTAAGAACATTTTTCATATACTTATTTTGTGGGTTCATTTCAATTTTTTTATTGCTGCCTTCTCTTGGGGCATGTTTTTCTTCCTACTCTGTCTGTTATTCTTCCTCATGGTGGCTTTTAACAGAGAGTGCCCGACCCTTTTGACTCTGATGACTCCTTTAGGAAAAGCTTTTCTAGGGGTATCCCTTTTCCCTTGGCTGTCAGGGTGTCTCCAGAGGACAGTTTTACATTTGCCTCTCTGGGGTCCTGTGAGCTTCACAGGCTCTAGATAAATTTTGATGTTTGTCTCTTGACTTGTGATATCTGTACCTAGGGAGTATACATTTGATTTCACATCTACTCACAAGGCAGGCTGGGTCTCTTATTTCTTGTGGGGTTTCTTTTTACCCAAAGCCTGGTGTGGGCAGTGTGATGCTCTCTGGCTGTGGTTGGCTAGCAGGCAGGTGATCCTGTCCTGAGTGGCTCCCAGCCTTCTGCAGGAAGCACAGGTTTAGTGGGTTGTTGTGGGCAGTTTGGGGGCCACTCCTGTTCCTGTGTGGAAGTTGGCTTGAAGCCCAAAGACTGTGGTCTGCTTTCTGAGCCCAGAACATCTCGGCTCCTGCTGTGTGTGTCTGAGTTTAGTTTTGCCATTGAGGAGCTTCCTTGGATACTCTCAGTTTTGCTATCTAATTTTTAACAGCTTTGTGGTTATATTATATCCATTGTTTCTCTGTTTGGTGCAGATTTTGGGGGTGAGGTAGAGGTTGCTTCTACATTGTTTAGTTCTCTCTGTTGATCTTGAGATTTTTCCATATACATATACATAGCTGGGGTAAAAAAAATCCTCTTATAAAATACCTTACAATGGATTCTCAACTATTATGGGTAAGATTTCTTAAGTCTAGTTTTTAAAAATAAATATACTGAGAAGTTATTTTATTTATTTAAATAATACTTTAAATTGAGTTTTATTCAGTCTTTAATAATATTTTGAAATTCATTTATTTAAAGGGGTTCTAAGTGAAAACTGTTTTTCTTCTTTCAGTTGCATGCTGCCATTAGTCACCAAGTTGACCCAGAATTCCTTGGTTTAGGTCTGGGCAGCATCCTCCTGAACAGCCTGAAGCAGACCGTGGTGACCCTGGCCAGCAGTGCGGGGGTGCTGAGCACTGTGCAATCAGCCGCCCAGGCCGTGCTGCAAAGCGGCTGGTCTGTGCTGCTGCCCACTGCTGAGGAGCGGGCCCGGGCGCTGTCTGCTCTCCTGCCCTGTGCAGGTGGGCTTTGGCGAGGAATGGGTATGGGTGTAGCTGTGGGTGCTGGGAGGGGATGGCATTTCACTCAGATTGGCGAATACAATTTTCCTGTTCTAGTTTCAGGCAATGAAGTGAACATAAGTCCGGGTCGTAGATTCATGATTGATCTCCTGGTGGGCAGTTTAATGGCTGATGGAGGGTTAGAGTCAGCCTTAAATGCAGCCATTACTGCAGAAATCCAGGTATGGTCCTAGGAGTGCATGTGAGCTGATGGGGTGGTTTTACCTAGCGGTGATCTGGGATTGAAAACACTGTACTCATACATGTGAGGAAATAACGACCTATTGCCAGAATTATTGAAAGAACTAATACATAAAACTTTTAGTCACATCCAAATATTGTTTTCAAATTAAATATCTTTTATTGTACTAAAAAAAAAAATGAGGTATTGAGTGTGATAGAATGCTCCCACTTTAAGTGTCTGTTTCAGTTAATTAGAGATACCTCATTCATCATTTAGATCTTTTCCATCACTCAGAAAGGTCCTTGTGCCCCTTTGCACTGGCAGTCATGACAGTCCCCTGTCTCTCTGATTAGATGAATTTTTCCTGCTCTGAATGTCCTCTTTTATGTCTGCTTTCTTTTGCGTTGGATAGTGATTTCCAGATTCATCCACATTGTTGCATGTATTGCTACTTTATTTTTATTATTGAGAAGTATTCCTTTTATGCTTATAGCACTATTTGTTTATTCTGTTATTGAAGGACATTTGGTCATCTCCAGTTTTTGACTATATAGAGCTGCTACGATCATGCTATGTATAAGTCCTTTAGTGAGCATGTATTTTTCCATTGGGTAAATACATTGGAGTAGAATTTGCTGGGTTCTAGGGTGAGTGTGTTTATAGTTCCCAAAGTGGCTTTGCCATTTACATTTTGACCAGCATGTGTGAGAGTTCTAGCTCTTTCCTGTCCTTTCAAAGCAGATAGACTGCACGTATGGGGCAGATCACATTGGATGTTTGTGAGAGCCAGTAGCAGAGGTAAAGATTTTAGGGACTTCACAGAAGGAGGCTGGAGACCATCAGCAGTGGCAGTGTGGACATTGGTGGGTTCATAGGAAGAATAGTCTGTTTAGAAACTGAGCAAGTGAGCAGTGGGGTTTCTAACAGGGGGCATGTGGGTCAGTGTCATCAAGCATGTGTGTTAGCACGCAGTAGCTGGAACAACAGGGCTGTGGAGCAGGGCTCAGTCTAGCCTGCCTTCACACCTGCTATTGAGATCACTGGTAACCAATTTCTGTTTTGTGAACTACAGGATATTGAAGCTAAAAAAGAAGCACAGAAGGAAAAAGAAATTGATGAACAGGAAGCAAATGCCTCAACATTTCATAGAAGTAGGACTCCATTGGACAAAGACCTTATTAATACAGGGATCTATGAGTCTTCTGGAAAACAGTGTTTGCCTCTGGTTCAGCTCATACAACAGCTTCTTAGGTAAATAATATTAATCGTACTATATTTTAATAGGTAATTGTTGATTTTCATATTTAGATAGTGAAATCTAGCACTAGGCCCTCAAAAATGTGTTTGGCTTTTGAAAGATAGTCTGAAAATTACATACGATAGGTTTTAGGGTAAAGAGTAGACTCTTAAATATGGATGAGAGGAGAGGTTGGGGTGTATGAGGAGATATTGACATTTTCACAGAAGAGAAATTGTAGTGTGCAGTAAACATGTAAAAAGATTCTTGTCCTCATTAATAAACAGGCAGGTGCAAGTGAAAATCATTGTAGTAAGGTTTTTTTTTCAAACTGGTTGAATTATTGCTTCATTCTGTATATCATAGATTTATATATCTAATATATCGAGGAGGGAGTTAAAGTATAATGCCCTCTGAACTGAGAAGGAAGCAGGCAAATCTTAGTTTGTATGGTATACAAAGATGTTTATTATAGGGATGACTTCCCTACAGGCAAGTTGCATGCAGCAAATAATCAGACGTCTACAGTGGGTCACAGCTGTAGTTCTCTGGGTTTAGGTGATGTTTATATGGCAAAAGCTCTGTTTGTTTGGGTTTTTTTAAATGAAAAATATGTAAATATGTTTAATTTTTTTCTTAGCAAAAAGTCTTTCTGAAAATAACAATGAAAACTTTTCTCAGTACAAAGGTGACATTACTATTGAAAAAGTACAAGTATGAAGAAAAGGTACATATTTTATAGCAGAAAAATGATTTCACTGAATCACAGTGTCTAAAGTTTGCAATGAAAAATCTGCAGTAACGACTTATGCCTTTTTTCTTTTCTTTTCTATTTTTTATTCAAACAGTACAAATAGTATTGCACATAACAACAAATAGTTGAGGTAGTAGCCTTCAAAGAATCGACTAGTTCAAGTAAAACCTCTATTACTAAAATAATTTAAAGAAAACAGCTAACGAAAAATAAGTTGGTATCATCATTCACCAAAGGTCTTGTGATCCAGATGCAGGGGGTCTTGTGATGTTAGTGCACAGACCGCTGACACCACCTTCGGTAATGAATCATTCACTCCCTGAAACCCATGTTCCCTTTACGCTTGCTCTAAGGTTCGGGGACCAGTTTTCCTCACTTCCCGCCTGTGCAGGCTGCTCCTTTGGCATGGAGAGCCTGGTCTGTGTTACCTGTACTGTCTACTGTGGCTATCACTCACCACAGTTTGCTGATTAGCACTCGAAATGTGTTCAGTGTAACTGAGACACTGAATATTTTATCTGCTTAATTTTTATTAATTAAAATTCAAATTAAAAAACTTATGCCTGATTTAGTAATTAGAAAACTTTTAAGTGTGATTGGAATAATTTGATTTTCTGAATCTACTTTTTATTTTTTGAAAAATTTATTTATTTATTATTATTATTTTTACATTCTAAGATGTTGCAGAGCAGTTGAGGGAGAAGGGGAGAGGGGATGGGGGGAAGGAAATAGGGTGAGAAGAGTAGGAAGGAGAGGGGGCTTGGTTGAGGCCTGTGGCACAACCTTCATTCCTGCAGGGGAGCCCAGGGCACTTCCTGTGGCAGCTGGGTGGTTGTCACTGGGCTGGTTTCAGATGTCAGGGGGATGTGGCTAAGGCTGTTGGCTCCCCACTGCCCCAGCTCGGGATACCAGGGCACTTCCTGTAGCGACTTGGTAGTTGTTGCTGGGCTAGTTGTGGGTGTTGGGCCATGGGGGGCGAGGCTGAGGTCCTCAGCCCCCCACTGCCCTGGTTTGGGAGGGTTCTGGTTAATATCATACTTTGTCTCTGATCTGTGGGTTTTTTTTTTTTTTTCTTTCAGTTCTGTGTTGGATTAGTTGCTGTTCCCACCACTTAAACTCTGCACTGGAACTAATTTGTTGTCCTTTGCTTACTTGTAAAATGGAGGAACTTCCTGTGGGGACCAGCACTTGAGCCCTGTGGTTGAGCTAAATTGCTGCTTTGCTGCTGATTCCCTGGGGAAGGCTTTTTGTGCAGCCCAGTTTTTAATTGTTGACCTTGTAAGCCCTTCCAGGTCTTGTGAGGTCCGGTATACCTGGATCGTATAGAGACTCTGGTCTCGGCCTGAGTCTTTTCAGAAAACTGCACCCCATGCAATTCTGTATTCCTGACCAGTCTACAATGAGTGGTCCTGTGCTGACTGGAGGGCAGATCAGTTGTCTGTGGCCCCTCACTTCTACGAGGGTCCACCAGGGCCCTCTTCTCCCCTGCTGCCTCCAAGCAACTTCATAGAAAGTGCACAGCTGTGGCTTTTGCCAGCTCCTGCTCCATGTGCTCACCAGGGCCAGCCTTGAAGCAGCCAGGACTTGAAATTTTGAGAGCTGTTCTTTCTTTCATCACGTCTTCTCCTGCCTTCACAAACTCCATAGGTCTCTCCTCCTCTTCCCCTGAGCTCTAGCAGCCCCAGCTTGGCTGTCTTTGCTTTTTAATAGTTGTAAATTGGTTGATTTGTGGGAGAGTGTGATGCTGGGGACTGTCTATACTGCCATCTTGACCTGAATCTTCTTTTTTTTTTTTTTCCTTTTTGTCTTTTTTCGTGACCGGTAACGGGATTGCAACCCTCAGTGTCGCGCCTGTACTGTGACCAGCAACGGGATCGCAGCCGTCGGTGTCGCGCCCGCACCGCGCTCAACCAGTGAGCAGACTGGTCTCTATATGGGATCTGAACCCTCGGTGGGAGCGCCGCCGCACTCCCAAGCGCCACACTCTACCGAGTGCGCCACCGGGCCAGCCCTGAATCTACTTTTTTAATTGTACTGTTTATGAGTCTAAGTACAGATAAAGTATCTTTGATTGAAAATTTAACTGTCCGAATTGAGGACTAAATCACTACATATGTAAGATACATAATGGCTTTTGATGTCAATGTAAAATATCTCAATAATTTTTTTTATATTGGTTTCATGTTGAAATGGTAATATTTTCAATGTGTTGGGAAGAGTTCAGGTGAATAGGTGGCTCGCTGGAGCCCTGCTTCTGTTGGACCTTACTGCTCTGGGCCAGACGCTCAGGTCACTCCTGTGTCTTCCTCTGTACTGAGTGTGTCTTGTTGGTCCTGTATGGCACATTCGTTTCACAGCAGATTTATAATAAAGATGTACCTATTTTAAAAATATGAAACAAAAACTTCAGCATAGAAATAAATATTGCCTCACAAAAATTTTGGAAAATAGAAAAAGAAAAACGGATTTATAGCTTTTCACTAAACAAACACTTATAATTCAGGCTCTTTTCATAAGTGTAGACAATGTGCCCCTCCCTTTGCATGGATAGACATTATTTACTTACCTTAAATGTTGGTGATCAAAAGATAGTTTGATGTGGGGCCGGCCCAGTGGCACACTGCTACAGTGCGCTGCTTGGGAAGCGTGGCAGCGCTTCCGCCGAGGGTTCGGATCCCACATACAGACCGGCCGCTCACTGGCTGAGCGAGGTGTGGGGGCAACACCGAGGGTTGCGATTCCGTTGCCGGTCCTGGTCCGGTACGGGCGCAACACTGAGGGTTGCGATCCGTTGCCGGTCACGAAAAAAGACAAAAAAGGAAAAAAAAAAAAAAGATACTTTGATATGTCAGCTTGGCTGATGCAGTTGTTGAAAAATAGTCTAAAGGTGTAAAAGATTTTGGAGACATTTCATGTCCTTTATTCCTTGGAAAACTTGGATTGAAGAAATTGCTGCTTGCCGAGAATAAGCTGTGAAACAGGTTTGAGATTAACTATTCAGTCTTATGCTGGCAAGGAGCTATTTTCAAATACAAATGCTATTTATATTTGAAAATAAAGAGCTATGAGTTCTTTGTAATTAGTGAACCCCATCAGAATTACACATTTTGGTTTTGGTTCTGGATTTTTATGTTAAGGAAATGAGTTAACATTTTATTGTTTTTTACTGTTTTTTGCTCCTTCAGGTGTAGCATAAATGCCAGATTCTAGGGGTTTGTCTGTCTCCACATTGTTAGAAGGGCAGGTTATCAGGTAGCACAGCTGAAAGGTGAGTCTAAGTGGTGGTGGAGGACCCATTGTGCTCCTCTGTGTAGTGTGTGACAAGGGCGTGACATGGCATGCTGGCCCTGTACTCCTCACTCCTCCTTCTCACCCAGCATATGGATGCCAGTGGAGTTGCTGTGGGACTCCCAGCCATCAGCCCCCTATGACTCCTGTGCTTGTTCATATTGCTGATAGTTTCCTGGTGGGATTGCCAGTTGTCCTTAACAAACCTGCTGCCACATCAGGAATCTAAGAAGTGGAGCCAAAGTCATGTCCTTGGCTGTGGTGTTGTGCAGAGACCCCCCACTACCCACCCCCCTGGCTGGCCTTTCAGTGGTGGCACCAACACTCCTGGACGGGACAGGGCTGTGAGATGGGTTTGGAACCAGGTCCTGCCTTGGCTTTTCCCCACCTCTCTGCCGACTTTCTACCTCCAATAACCTACTCTGTCCTTTCTATTCTCAGTGACAGTGATCAGGCGTGGTTCTCCTGTATCTGGAACTGTTCCTGTGTGCCAGGGTCTTAGCAGCCTGTCCACTCTAGTCTGCTTTCATGCTGACGTAAGAGTTAGCTTCCTCAAACACAAACAAGATGTTGTTTTCCTTTTATAATTTCGGTAGTTCAGTGTTGCAAAGTGCAGTACCACCAGCCTGGCACTCTGTTAACTGCAATGTTTCCTCCCTGCTTCCTTGTTCCTCTGCACTCTGGTCATGGAACCAGAAAAACTCAGTGCTCTTCTAAATGCACCTTCCAGGAACTCATATTTCTTCTCCTTTATCCGAATCCACTGATGGTTTATGGCTCAGGTCATGTCATGCCGATGCGATTGGAGCCTATGTTCCCACCTTGCTGCTGTGTTCCTTGGGCACCTTTTATCCTGACTTGTGCTATTTGTAACTACTTTGGTGTTCCTTCCTGTATTCTCTGAGCCCTGGGTAACCGCCTCATGGCCCACCCTGGTGCCGCTCTGGAGTAGGTGCTGAAAGTAGCAATGCTGGCAAGTCTTGTCTTTAAGACTAGTATCATGTTTATATTTGAAATGCAGCTTTGGGGGGCCGGCCCGGTGGCGCACTGCTACAGTGCACTGCTTGGGAGCGTGGCGGTGCTCCCGCCGAGGGTTCGGATCCCATATACAGACCGGCCGCTCACTGGCTGAGCGAGGTGCAGGTGCAACACCGAGGGTTGCGATCCCGTTGCCAGTCCTGGTCCAGTACGGGCGCGACACTGAGGGTTGCGATCCGTTGCCGGTCACGAAAAAAGACAAAAAGGAAAAAAAAAAATGCAGCTTTGGACAACAAATAATGACGTTTTTCCTTCCAAAGGTTTGTACAGAAGTATTCCTTTTTAAGCAAGATTCTCTGTCATTTTGGACTATTCTATGCAGCTGCATAGGAGCACATTTTTATAGCAAAGAGGCATCATGATGTCTCAAAGTCTTCGTGCTCCTCTGCTCAGTTTTGACTGCGGTTGTGCTTGTTGCACATACACGTGACAAGCATTTGGGGAGGGAAGCCAGCTGCAGGTCACCTGCTTGTATGATCTGTGTTTCTGGTATTAGTTTATATCATGATTTACCCCCTACCTTTTTTCTTTTTAACAGAGATAACTTGTTTAATGTTGCAATCTTCTTTTCCCTTGTATAGAAACATTGCTTCTCAGACTGTAGCCAGATTGAAAGATGTTGCTCGTCGGATTTCATCATGTCTGGACTTTGAGCAACATAGTCGTGAAAGATCTGCATCCCTGGATTTGTTACTGCGTTTTCAGCGTTTACTTATCAGTAAACTTTATCCAGGAGAAAGTATTGGTCAGACCTCAGATATTTCTAGTAAGTTGCTTAAAATGTGAAAGTGTCTTGTATGTATGTGGGGCTTTTTTATTTAGGCTTTTTAATGTGTCTATTCTGTATGCCCAGATGTGTAGTTCATATACTGTTAAATGCACTGATTTGGGGGGCTTCATTTTGCATCTACTGTTTTTTAGTCAAATATTTCTGTATTAAACTCATTAATACTTTAAATTTCATTGTTTTAACATTTAAATTCTTTAGACATCAGAAATAACATACTTTATGTTCAGTTCAGTGTTACAGAAGATTTATCAGATTTTTTCCCATGTGTTAGTTATGGAACACTGGAGATTAACCAGATGTGAGTACTAAACAGTGACAGACTATCAATCAGTATGTCACATTGGGAAGCCAGGTGGGTGTAGTGGGAGAAATTGTTGTTTGAAGAAGACTGGGTTTCAGTTATAGCTCTGATTAATAGCTGTTAGACATTGGACTAAGTCTCCTGGGGCCAAAGATTTGTCATCCACAGAGTTGGAATAATCCCTGAGGGTGCCTGTGAGATTTAAAATAGGATAGTGTGTAAGTGCTCAGCGCTGTGCATGATGTAGAGTAAGTGGTGCTTTTCCACAAGTACCCAAGGTAGTGGCTGGCTTTCTGTGATGGAACTTTCTCTACCAAGGAATATTTTTATAGCCAGTTTTTTTTTTTCCCCCTAAAGTATCATAGTTACTTCCTGAAAAGAGTTAAGCACTTGTCAATGATAGAAACTTCCAGGTTCTAATAGGGGAATTTATAGTCTAAAAGAGGTGACCATCTCGAAGACATAAAGTCATAAGGACTGAAAAACTATTAAGAACCACATAGTCAGAAAAGTTGAAGATTTTATGAGACTAAAGATTGCCTAGCTTTTGTTCATTGGGAATAATTTACAAGGTTCAACAAAACAAATGCTTGTGTAGTGAATGTAAAATTTTAAAAATTTATAAATTGTGACTTTAGTATTTATATACCCAAAGTTTGTAGGTACAATGTAGTGCAGGGTATAAAAGTCAACATAATTGAATTCACTGTCCCTCAAGTTACACAATATAAAAAGATCCAAGGACTAAGCATTAATAGGCTCCTGTTTGAGTAAATTATTATTGGTTAAAGATGTGTAGATGAGAGTGGAATAGTGGAGCTGTTCAGTTTGTTTATAGAGTAAATTTTTAAAAGTGAAACTGAAATTTTCCAAATCTTTCTTCAAGGTCCTGAGCTACTGGGTGTTGGTTCCTTGCTGAAGAAGTACACGGCCCTTCTGTGCACACACATTGGAGACATACTGCCTGTGGCAGCTAGCGTCGCATCTGCCAGCTGGCGGCACTTTGCAGAGGTGTCCTGCATTGTGGAAGGGGACTTCACCGGTACCTTTCTTGTTTATTGCCTGTGGACACATGTTTATTTTAGGAGGTTGATGAAAGCTAAAATGTGTCCTTTCCTGGTAGAGCTGCCTGCATTTATTCTATACAATTTTCTATCTTGCCCTTTCATTTTTTTGTTTTTTAGTTACTGACAATTCTGTTGTTAAACTAGTTGGTATGATTCTTTATATTTATACTACCATTATTAACACTGTAATAATGAGGTCAGTGGTAGTTGTCTAATTTTTTTGACAGCATAAAAATTAGTTGCCCCTTTCAGGATCTTGGTAAATTCCAATATCACACAGTATTTTTTACAGTTAATTTTATGATGTTAGAGCATTATATTTGAGTGCTTTTTTTCTGATGGTAAACATAGTGGTAAACATTTAGTTTTCTGAATAAAAGACTATATAGAGAGAGATATAAGGTGTTCTCTTTGTATAGTTCTGCATTTTAACATAGTGTTTTTGAAAAATATTTTTGGAACTCAAAGGGTTGTATTGATAGCTATGCCTGTCTCTTTCAAAATAAAAGATAAAATAATCCTATAGAAATACGCTAACGGACAAGCATTACTTATTTTGTGACTTATCAGAATTTAAGCATAGATCCAGGTTACAAAGTGATTTGGAGGATACGATGTATTTTTTTCCCCTCTTTTCAACTGTAGGTGTTCTTCTTCCAGAGCTGATAGTGTCTGTAGTGCTTCTGCTTAGTAAGAATGCTGCTGTCATGCAGGAGGCCGGGGCTGTGCCTCTGCTGGGCGGCCTGTTAGAACACCTGGATCGCTTCAACCACCTTGCACCAGGAAAGGAGCGGGATGATCATGAAGAATTAGCCTGGCCTGGCATAATGGGTATGGCATCTTAACTTAAAGTACTTTCACTGAGGAAGGTTTTGTCCTTGTCTAACTTATTCTTGCCTTTCCATTTGAAAGAATGCTTTATGAAGGAAGATCAATTATTTGCCATTTCCACTGATGGTAGTTTAAGTGGAAAATGAAGATAATCCAAATCAGAAAAGATTTGGGTTGTAATTAACACAGATTTTGTATCAGTAATCATTAAATGCTGAAATGGGCTATTTTAAAAATGCTGCAAAACCCTTTGCTGGGAAATGGGCTATTTAAAAAATGCTGGAAAACCCTTCGTAGGTGTCTACAGAAGGTGCCGTTGAGGTGGTACTGTACGGAAGGTACTGTCTGTAGTGCACACCAAACTGAAGTGAAATGTCTTTTCAAAGTTAAGCCACCAGGTTCTGTATGGCTCTGGCGTTCTGGACTCAGAATTAATCAGGGTTGTGGTGAAGTTTTATATGCAGCTAGGTGGGCTTTTTCTGCTCCCATTTTAGACCATCATCTTTATAAGACAGAAGCTTAAAACAGGAGGTAGCAATTGTTCTGAGGAAATAGCCTTATGCTCTCGAACATAGCTTCTTATTTTTTAATACAGTCAGTATTTTCAGCACCATCTGTCTATATTTGTTTAGGAGTACACATAAATGGTTATTTGTTATTTTTGTCTCTATACTAAACATGGTTGAGGGCATTTAATTTGATCAGCATTTTATTCATTTTATAACATACGCAAAGTATGCAAAGGAGCTCTGTGACAGAAGACAGAGAAAACTGTGTCACGCCGTCTAGGCTAAGAAATGGAACATGGCAGAACCCTCCCAACACTGCCTCTGTCTCCCTGATAGGTGCCCCTCCCTGGGCTGTCACTCCCTTATTTCTTGTGATCATTTTATCATCTAAGCATGTGTCCCTAAACAACATAGTTATAATTTTGTCTGTTCTTGAACTTCATGTAAGTGGAATTATATAGTATGTACCCTTTGGTGTCTGGCTTCTTTCCCTCAACATGAGGTTTCTGAGGTTCATTCTGTTATTTTCTTTCATTTTTGTTGCTTTATATAGTATACCGTTGTTTGAATATACCACAATTTATTCATTCTACTTGTTGATGGAAATGTAAGTTGTTTCCAGGTTTAGGTTATAGTAAATAATATTGGTTTAAGCATTCTTATATCTGTTTCTTGGGGGAATTGCTGGTTTGTAGAGGATGCTTTAATGCAGAATGTCAGTTTTCCATAGTGATTGTGCTGATGTCCATCTGCATGGCACAGTGTGAGAGCTCCTGCTGTTCCACCTCGTCACCAGTACCTGGCACTCTCAGAGCTTCCTGTTTTAGCCACATTGGTGGTGTACACTGGTATCTCAAAGAGCATTTTCCTGATTATTTAGGAGGTTAATATCTTTTCATATGTGCATTAACCAGTTGGATATTCTCTTTTCTCAAGTGCCAGTTCAAGCCTTGTACCCATTTTTCTATCAGGTTGTCTTTCTTTCTTTTTTTTTTTTTGTCTTTTTTTCCGTGTCCGGCAACGGATCGCAACCCTCAGTGTCGCCCCCGTACCGGACCGGGACCGGCAACGGGATCGCAGCCCTCGGTGTTGCTCCCGCGCCTTGCTCAGCCAGTGAGCGGGAACCGGTCTGTATGTGGGATCCGAACCCTCAGTGGGAGCGCCGCCACGCTTCCCAAGTGGCGCACTATAGCAGTGCGCCACCGGGCTGGCCCCTCTTTCTTTTTCTTAATGATTCATGAGGATGTTTGTATATTTGGGATACAGATCTTATAGATATTTTTCTCTCATTGTGGCCTGTACAGTCTCTTAATAGTGTTTTCTGATGAACAGAAGTTAATATTAATAAAATCCAATTTGCTAATTTTTTATGGTTGTTCATTTTTGTGCCTTAAATCTTTTCCCTACTCAAATTTTCTTCCATATTGCATTTTGAAACTTTTATTGTATTAACTTTCACATTTAGAGTTACAGTACACTTGGAATTGATTTTTGTTTGTTATGAGGTCGAGGTTTTATATTTCTTTTTCCCCATAGCATTTTGTCCATAGGGTCAAATGGACCCTTGTGCCAGCACTTTTGGGTGCAAGGACTGTCCTTGTTCACTCTTCTGGAGTGATCTTTGTGTAAATCAAGTGATTGTACCTGTGTCTGTTGTGATCTTACAGCTTTTTCTCTGTTGATTGATTGCACTTGCCAAGACCTCTAGTGCATTGTTGAGTAGAAATGGTGACAGTGTGTGTCCTTATCTTGTTCCTAGTAGCAGAGGAATAGCTATCCATATTTATCACGTGCAGTATGTTTGTTATAGGATTCTCTTTGTAGATATTTTTGAATATTAAGGATGTTTCCTTCTATTTCTGCTGTGGGTTGAGGTTTCTATTATGATTGGATATTAAATTTTATCAAATGCTTTCTCTGCATTTCTTGATCATATAATTTTTCCTTTTTTCTATTAATGTATAAATTATTGACTTTTAAAATCCGAAATCAGCCTTCCATTTCTGGATTAAAACTACCTTGGTCATAATATATTGGTCATCTTAATACATACTGCTTGTCTTGGTTTGCTGTTTTTTAAAACAATTTTGCATCTATGTATGCCATTTTCATGGATTTTTTTACATCTGCGTTTGTCATTTTTCTTGTATTTTTTTCCTATGGTATATAATTTTCTTTTATTGCAATACTGTACAAGTTATTGATAACTACTATCCCTGCACTAACAAAAAAGCTGTAATTCAGGAAAAGGTTAGCTCCCATGTAGTCGCTGTTAATTTCTGTTTACAGTTTATCTGCCCAAGAATGTTAGCTAGTCAGGGGTGCAACTAGCTGATGGATCAGGTAGTAGGAAAACATAATAGACATCCAGATTTTGGTAACCAAGGTTGTGCTAGTTTCATAGAATGAGTTGGAGAATGTTCTTTCCTCTTGATTTCTCACAAGTATGTGTATAAGACTGGTAGCACTGGCCATATAAACATCTTGGTCTGTAGTTTCCTTTGTGAACAATCTTCAAATGAACAGGGGTGTGGAGTAGGAGCCCAACTTTTTTTGTGTGTGTGGTAAAACATACATACCACAAAATTTGCCATTTTAACCACTTTTACATGTACAATTCAGTGACATTAATCACTTTGTTGTGCAACCCTCTCCACTATCCATCTCTAGAACTTTATTTTCCCCTGCTGAAACTCTACCCTTTAAACACTAACTCCACATTACCCCTACCCCTTCCCCAGCCCCTGACAACCACCATTCTGTTTGCTTGTGGAGGATACCAACACTATTAAAGCAAATGTAGTGTTAGCATGGCCACAGCCCTGTGGTTTAAGGTATAGCCTAACGTTTTAGAATTGCACATCGAAATGCTAAGCTTGGGAAAAACAGAAAACTTTCCCAGGACTAAAGTCTCTGTTTTAGATAAAAAATTGTAGCACAGCAAAAATGCTGGCTCTAAGGGCAGATGTCCTTAGTGCAGCTAAACCTCATGATGGGAAAGTATGGCGATTATCTCACTGTTCTTTTTGTAACCAGCTATGTTCCTTTTCTGTAACTTTCTTGCCTGGAGAATAAAAACAGGAGAGAAAACCTGATTCGGGGTTATTTTCCTAGGAATCCTCTCTCTTGAAGGACTTGCCTGGAATTAACCCTTTCGGGCCTCTCACTGCTCAGAAGAAATGGGCTTTGAGTAATCCTTTGTGTCTCCATCACCCTGGGAGAGGTGACACTTTCTGTCTCTAGAATTTGACTACTCTAGGTACCTCATATAAGTGAAATCGTACAGTATTTGTCCTTTTGACTGGCTTATTTCACTTAACATACCTTTAAGCTTCATTCATGTTGTAGCATGTGTCCGAATTTACATCCTTTTTAAGTCTAAATGACATTCCACTGTATGTATTTACCACATTTTGTTTATTCATTCATCTATCATTGAACACTGGGGTTGCTTCCATGTTTTGGTATTGTGAATAATACTGCTATGAACATGGGTATACAAATATCTTTTTGAGTCCCTGTTTTCATTTCTTTTGAGTAATGAAGAATTACTCAAAAGTAGAAGTAATAAGATAGCCAGAAGTAGAATTGATAAGATTATGTGGTAACTCTAAATAGATGGTCACTGACTTAACAATGATTTGACGTAATGATTTTTTGACTTTATGATGGCATGAAAGCAATACACATTTAGTAGAAACTATATTTTGAGTACCCATACTACCATTTTGTTTTTCTTTTTCAGTAAATTACATGAGATGTTCAACATTTTATTATTAAATAGGCTTTGTGTTTGATGATTTTGCCCATTTTATTATTAAATATGCTTTGTGTTCAATGATTTTGGCTAAGGTAAGCGTTCTGAGCAGGTTTTAGCTAGGCTAGGCTAAGCTATGATGTTTTGTCAGTCAGTTGTATTAAATGCATTTTCAACTTAGATGATGGGTTTATTGGGACATAACCCTGTTTAAGTTGAAGAACATCTGTATTTAATATTTTGAGGAGCCACCATGCTTTTCCTACAGTGGCTGCACCATTTTACATTCCCACCAACAGTACATAGAGGTTCTAGTTTCTCCACATCCTCACCAACACTTGTTATTTTCTGTTGTTTTTGATAGTAGCCATCCTAATGTGTGTGAAGTTATATCTCATTGTGGCTTTGATTTGCATTTTCATACTGATTAGTGATGTTGAACATCTTTTCATGTGCTTATTGCTCATTTGCATACCTTCTGAGTTGATTGGATAACACAGTCTATTCTGAGGCTCAGCTGTATTTTTCTTCTTATTCTGATATTTTTATTCCAAGAAGTTATCATCATTCCTATGAAATGAATACTTATATAGTTTCATGGACTAATACAATTCAGATTCAAGATTAGAATCCAAGGATTTTACCCTTGGATTATTAAAAAAAAAATTTTTTTTTTTTTTTTTTTTGGTTATTGTTGAGTTGCGGGAGTTCATTATATATTCTGGATATATATGATTTGCAAATCTATTCTCCCATTCTGTGGATTGCCATTTTACTCGTGATAGTGTCCTTTGATGCACGAAAGTAGTTGATTTTGATAAGTTCAGCTCATTTTTTTTTTCTTTTTTTGCCTGTGCTTTTGATGCTATATCCAAGAAGTTGCCAAATCCAGTGTCGTGAAGTTTTTCCTAAGAGTTTTATAGTTTGAGCTCTTAGGTTTAGGTCTTCTGTGATCTATTTTGAGTTAATTTTTGTGTGTAGTCTAAGATAACAGTCCAACTTCATTCATTTGTATGTGGATCCAGTTTTCCCAGCACCATTTGTTGAAAAGACTGTCCTTTTGCCATTGAATGGTCTTGGCTCCGTTGTCAAAAATCATTTGACCAAATGTGTGAGGTTTTATTTCTAGGCTTTCTGTTATATTCCTGATCTATATGCCTGTGTTTATGCCAGTACCACCCTTTTGTTTATTATTTCTTTTCTTCTTTCTTAGGGTTTAATCTGTTATTTTTCTAACTTTTTGAGAAATGGATGTTTATTAGCACACTGATATTTTTTATACTATGTTTATTATAAGAATTTTCTAACATGGATAAAAGTAGAAAAAATAGTAGAATGTACCTAGCTTTAATAAGTATTCACATTCCCCATTCTCTCCCATACTTTTCTATTTTACTTATTGATTGATTGGATTATTTGAAAGTATGTCTTTGCATTTAAAATATTTTAAGACATTTTACTGCTTAATGGTAACTTCTTTTTAAAAAAATTTAAAACTACAGTATTATATTATTCTAACAAGATTAACAGTGATTCATCAATCTAACACATAGTCCATGTTAAGTTTTGCTGGATTATCTCAAAAATGCCTTTTTATAGGTGGTAATTTTGAATCCGGATGTAGGCGAGTTCCGCGCGTTGGAACTGGTTCCTATGTGCTTCCAGTCCCTTTTCCCTAACGGCACAGCTTCAGCCCTTCCTCCTGCTCTTTGCTGCTCATACTGTTTCTTTTTCAAAGAAGCAGGTCATTTGTCGTGGAGAATTTTGCATTTTCTGAATTTGGTTGATTGTATTCTCTTCTTCTAGTCCAACAATTTCTTCTATCAGTTTCATTTTCTCTAATCTGCTGGTTAGATGTAGAGGCTTCGTCAGATTTGGATTCAGGTTTTCAGGTCAGAATATGTGTGAGGTTATGCCATAGTTCTCCTGTCAGGTCAGGAGGCCTGTGGTGCCAGGTAACCTCACCTTTAGTGCTGTGAAGATGGACCAAGGAGTTCCACGTATTTTTAGTCTTCTATAAAACCCCCTACCACCCTCGCCCTCAGCTGTCTGAAGGATGTGGTCTGGGCCTGGTTTCTTCCTCCACCCTCCTTTTATCTGTTTTCTGTAATATTGAGTCGGTGTCCCAGCACTTCAAAGGTGACCAGTCAGGATTTCTTTTTTTGAGTATCATTTTGAATTCATAGACTTTTGTTGATTTGATGTTTATTAACTTACTTTTTAGCTTTTCTTTAGTTTTCTTTTTTTTTTTTTTTGTCCTTTTTGAGACCGGCTGCACCACGCTCAGCCAGTGAGCACTGTGAGTGCACCGGTCATCCCTATATAGGATCCGAACCTGCGGCAGGAGCGCTGCTGCACTCCCAGCGCCGCACTCTCCCGAGTGCGCCACAGGTTCGGCCCTTTTCTTTAGTTTTTTATAGCTTTTCTTTTTTCCTAATACATACATCAAAAGGTATAAATGCCGTTAAGCATATGTTTAGCTGTATGTCACAAGTTTTGATCTGCAGCATTTTCATTATTTCAATGCATTTTCTAATTTCCATTGTCATTTTTTTTCTTGGAATTTTGGGTTACTTAGAAGTATATTTTATAATTTTCAAATATGTGGAGACCTTTTTTGGTCCCCTGTCTCTGGTTTAACTGCATTCTGATCAGCACACATGCTCTGCCACTTCAGTTCCTTGAAACCTGTTCAGAAAATCATTCTGTATTTAATAGAATTTTTGTTTGAGGTGTCAGTTACAGAGAGATGTTATTCTCCCATTGTGATTGTGGATTTATCTATTTCTCCTTGTAGTCCTTTCATAGAATTTGTTCTTTTCATTTTATCTATTAATCTATTGATTGATTGATTTTGGTTTCTGTATACACAGAGTCATTTTTTACAGGTCAAAACTGTAGAAATAATGAGGAAGTGACACTTATCCGCAAAGCTGATTTGGAGAACCACAATAAAGATGGAGGCTTCTGGACCGTGATTGACGGGAAAGTGTATGATATAAAGGACTTCCAGACGCAGTCGTTAACAGGAAATAGTATTCTTGGTAAGGCTGCACTTTTTCCTTCATGGTTAAAAATTGCAGCATGTGTCACTTTCAGCGGAGCATTTGACTTACAAATGATCTTAGTTCTGTTTCTGCTCCCATACATTTTAATGTATCTGTGACTTTGGTGTCTGTTTTATCAGTGAATTCCAGCCCATTTGAAGAATTTCTCATCATTATGTATTTTTTGTTCTAATACTTGTTGGAACTTGTTATAAGTTCTCAGTTGGCCTCTGAGGGGGTAAGATATATTATGCTCTGGTAACCCTCACTTTTGATTAATCTGCCTATTTCCTACTCACCATTTCTCTTAGGGCTGTCTAGGCAAATTGTGTTGAAGTCATGTTGTTTTTTTCCTTTGTGTTTCAGCTCAGTTTGCAGGGGAGGACCCAGTAGTAGCTTTGGAAGCTGCTTTGCAGTTTGAAGACACTCGGGACTCGATGCATGCATTCTGTGTTGGCCAGTATTTGGAGGTGAGGCTGTTGCTGTGAGCACCAGGGGCACATCAGGGAGACCCTCTCTGTGTTTTTGTGATGGGATGATCTTTACTCTGAAGTATTGATGTCTAGGTCTTTAGGAGGCATTAAGTGATAAACATAAAGATCCTTTAGAACTTTTTTCATAAATGAACTTACATTTATTTATGGTAAGATTCATGATGTGCTCGTCTTGAAAAATTATTTTTCAAATTATCAATTTGATCTTTACACTTTTATTGTAAGCTTATGTAGAAATTTGGAATGGATTTACTGTCTTGAGGTATGTATTTTTTGGGAAGAACTGTATAGAAGCATAATTCTTTAGAATAGAAATATGTCCTTTCTACATATTCTGAAGCATTGGAGTTTATATATTAGGATTGACTTTCCAGGTATCCACATATCTAGAGGTAATAAAATTCTTTAAATGTTATAATGGTAGGGCTTAATGCATTTCGTGAACGGGAAAATTAACTCTGCTTATAAATTGTTCTGATGTGACTGGTAAAATTTAAGATTATTTTCATTTGAACTCTTGCTTTTTTCTTATTGTGCTTTCTGTTAGAGTAAATTTATTTCCTCCACAAATGTAGTCACAGTTCACTAACCTATAGCAATACTTGTCGTATTTTTGTTTCTCAGTGGGTTTCTTATGCACATAACAATTCATTATATTTTCTGAAGCATTGCGTGCAATCACTTTGGAAACACTGATTTCATAGGAATATTTTTGCTTGGTCATTGATCTGTGCTTTGGTATTCCCCTAGTAGAGCTGAGTATTTGCTGTCTGTGTTGTAGGGGTGCGTGGGGTTTACGGAGTACCTGTTGTCACTAGGGCACAGCAGTGTAACTCATTGTGACAGGTGTAGGAAAACGACGCCCAGAGCACTCACTCATCCACATCTTAAGGACATTGCTGTTGCTCTTTTCGGTTTTATGTTTTTAATTAACCCTGTTTTCTCAGACTAATGATGAAATTTGTTTTTCCAGCCTGACCAAGAAGTTGTTACCATACCAGATCTGGGAAGTCTCTCTTCACCTCTGATAGACACAGAGAGGAATCTGGGCCTGCTTCTCGGATTACACGCTTCCTATTTAGCAATGAGCACACCTCTGTCTCCTGTTGAGGTTGAATGCGCTAGTAAGAAAAACTTTTTCTAAAAAGATCACAGTGGTGTGTTGGACTTGCAGAGGGAGAGAACAGACCTAGGGTTGTCGGGGGTGGGGGAGGAGGGGAGGAGGGGAGGAGGAGGGGTGAGGAGAGGTTGGGTGGGGGACATGGGGAATAATTGCAATTTGAAGTGTTGGGCATGCTGATAGTATTGATCTTATTGCCACATCTTGGGCACAGGTGGTGACAGTCGGCTCTGTGCTCCATGAATATGGATAATCAATTTAAAAAAAAAAAGATTTTTTTCTGCTTACCAACTCACAGGTATTTTTAGTTGAGCAATAACTGTCATTAAGAGTAGAAGAGGAAAAAGAATCAACACAGTGGTTCGTGATGAAAAATAGGGATAGTGAGACTCAAGTAGTTAGTCAGAAATAGCTGTGAGTGGCTTCCACTTGCTCTCATGATCCATGGCTGCAGAGGAACCTGAAAAGTTTGCAGGAGTGTCTGTCCTGTGACTAGTCTCACTTGTCACATCCTCTAACTGGTGGGCCCAGCATGGCCATCATCTCCCTGTGTGCCCAGAAATCACACACACTGTGCATCGGCTCTTCTTATCAGAGAATAACATTGTGTTTGATGATTGTGTTTTTAACCAGACTCAAGTCAGATACATTTTGGGATGGCAGCCTTGTAACCACATAAAATAATGAAGGCTTTTCATATCCCGTAAGATGGGTTTTCTCTTCATGTGGTTGTGTATTTCTCATCTGTCTGTATGTCCATCCAGCAAGCATCTGTTGAGCAGTTGCTTGTGCATGTCACCATACCGGGCGCTCAGGATGTGGGGGTGGGTGGGATGTGCCTCTGCCTTCAGTTGCTGCTTGTTTGATGATGAACCTGCATCCTATGTGGATCAGGATACAGGGTGTAAATGACGACATGGAGACATTCATAAGTGGTTCTGGAGGAAGAAAGACCCCACAGTGGCAGCAGTCCTGAAACTGGCAGAAAAACGTGAGTGGGAGGGCACCATTGAGAGCAGCAGGGGTTTCCAGCTGCTCACGAGAGTGGGTGTCAGGCGGCCTTTGGGTGAGCATGGTGAGCAAGGCCACAATGCCTGCCTGGCCCCCTTGTGCCGGGTGCTGTGCTGCTGTGGAGCCCTCTCAGGTGCCTGCTCCCTTGCCTTCCTCCTGACACTTGTCACACTGTGGAAAGATGGGCTGTGCTTAAATCAGCAAGGAGGGTGGGACTGGGAAACTGCAAGGTGGAGGGAGCTGAGGGGCTGTGGGCCCCGGTGTGTGGGGGCCTGATCCACTAAGGGCTCAGGAGCTCATCTCTGAGAGGTAAGGGGAGCCCCCCTGTGTTCTAAATAGAGCCAAGGAGGGTCGGGATCAGATTTGTGTTTTAGAACAATTAACATGGCAGTTTCGGGAATTCTGAGTGCTCTAAAATCTACATGTCCAGAGAAAGAATACTGAATGTATCCCAGATGTGATTACTTGAGTTATGGAGTAATATTTTGATAACACAAGTCACTAATAAAAATCTGTTGTGATATACACACTGGTGATTTTTTGGTGCATTTCCTTTGAGATATAAATGGTTATAATGTGCATTCCTATTGGCCCTGACATGGTGTGTTCTTGTGAGGCCGGGCTGATCTTGTACCTTATACCACACGTGGGGCTACTTTCTAGTCTGCCGGATCTCTCATCTCTAAAGATCTGTTTTTTATTAAACACTATATGTTGTTTGTTAAATATTCTGTCATTCTTGTTACTTTATAAATGCTCTGGGAATATGTAGAAACCCTTCAGGCATGCTCCTCTCCTGCCTGGATACTCTGTGTCTTGTTCCAGATAGCAGTTCAGTTGCACTTCCACAACAAGTCCTTTACTGACCCGCAGGATAGTGGCAGTCTTTCTGCCACAGGCTCTTGTGCCCCCGTGCTCCCTGTAGTCCTCTACTGTGTGCAGTCTCACAGTGGAGACTGAGTCATGGTATAAGTGGTGCCCTACTGCTGCTCTACCTGTTAGAGTGAGTCCCAGTCTTCACATGGCACCTGTGGAGCCAGGCAGCTGCATGCAGAGCACAGGTGTCCAGCCCCTCCCGAACTGAATCCACCATATTGAGTTCTGATACTGTGCTTAAGGTGTGTTGAATAATCAGAAAGTGTTATCTGTGTTCACTCAGGTAGAGAAATTATAAATCATTCTGTGAAAATATGTTAAATGGAACTCCTTCATATGAATGATGTTGAATTTCACCTAAATCGAATGTTCAGTTCAGTATCTTTCTTTTCAGTATTTGTTTTTGAAGCGTGCACTTGAGTTTCCCTTTAATGTTCACTTATGCATTTTTTAGAGTGGCTGCAGTCATCCATCTTCTCTGGAGGCCTGCAGACCAGCCAGATTCACTACAGCTACAATGAGGAGAAAGATGAGGACCACTGCAGCTCTCCAGGGGGCACATCTGCCAGCAAATCTCGACTCTGCTCCCACAGACGGGCCCTGGGTGACCATTCCCAGGCTTTCCTGCAAGCCATCGCCGACAATAGCATACAGGATCACAGTGTGAAGGTAAGCTAGATCTTCTCCACCACTGACTCAGTATTCTGTTTTTCTGAGGACTTTGACATGGAAATACTTTTGTGCTCTTTGATTAACATGGCACAGACATTGTTTTACATAATACTTGGAGAATTGGTTTTGACATAAGAAGCTGATTCTGTTCAACATGCTAGCAAGATTTCAGAAGCATTACTGACTGCTTTCTGACTGCAAGTGTGTCAAGTTGTGGCATGTTTAGGGTTCGTGAAGACTAACTGGGTGGCTCTTAAGTTACCTCCAGCTGTTTCTGTTGCAGGACTTTCTGTGTCAAATTGAAAGGTATTGTAGACAGTGCCACTTGACCACACCAATCACGTTTCCTCCTGAGCATCCTGTGGAAGAAGTCGGCCGCTTGCTGTTATGTTGCCTCTTAAAACATGAGGATTTAGGTATGATGCTTGATATCCATGCATTTGAGCTGTATTGTAGAACTTCTGACTGACATGTGATACACATTCATTCCTACCCTGCCCTACTTTTATATGTCTTTTACAGGTCATGTGGCATTATCTTTAGTTCATGCAGGTACGCTTGGTATTGAGCAAGTAAAGCACAGAACATTGCCTAAGTCTGTGGTGGATGTTTGTAGAGTTGTCTACCAAGCAAAATGCTCACTCATTAAGGTGAATAGATTTTAATTTTTTTCCTTGTATTTTTGGTAGATGGTTGCTGAAATATTTAAGTTGTCTTTTCCTGTTTAACTTCAGACTCATCAAGAACAGGGTCGTTCTTACAAGGAGGTCTGCATGCCTGTCATTGAACGTTTGAGATTCCTGTTTAATGAATTGAGACCTGCTGTTTGCAATGACCTCTCTATAATGTCTAAGTTTAAACTCTTAAGTTCTTTGCCCCGTTGGAGGAGGATAGCTCAGAAAATAATTAGAGAACGAAGGAAAAAGAGAGGTAAGAATTTACATACTGTTCAAGTATGTACTTCCCCTCCATATACAGTCATGCGTCACTTAACAGCCAGGATAGGGTCATAGAAATATGTCATTAGGCTACTACCTCATTGTGCAAACATCATAGAACATACTTACACGAACCTAGATGTTATAACTTACTACACAGTCACTCGATCTGGCCTCTTACTGGCAACATTAGCTGTGGATTTTGTACTAATAGGTGCCATGATGAACTAGACAACACGAGATTAAATCAAGCACTAGAGAAAGCAATGCAAGTGAGGGATGCGCAAAGAGTGAGGTGTCTGAGATGCTGTTGGCATAACACAGCAACCATTGAGCACAAACATTCTAAAATCGTGATAGAAAGAGTAGTGTAGTAAATGCATAGACCAGTAATGTAGTTGTTTATTATTATTATCAGGTAATGTGTACAGTACATAATTGTGTGTGCTGTGCTTTTACATGACTGACAGTGTAGTAGTTTTCTTTTACAGCAGCATCACCACAAACATGTGAGTAACGTGTTGTGCTACGACTTTATGACAGCTATGAGGTCACTAGGCAACAGGAATTTTTCAGCTCTGTTATAATCTTATGGGACTACCAACATATATGCGGCCCATCGTTGACCAGAACATCGTTATGTGTTGAAGTTGAATCTGTGATTTCTGAGTGTAGCTACTACTTATTACATGTGGCATTTTCATGTACTACCATAATATTTATGTGTATCTATAATTAAATACAGAAATTCTGCTTATTTTTCCAAGAGATCAGATAATGATGCAACTTTGTAATCGAATGTATTAAGATTTGGAAACTAGTAAATTGATGCTGAAAAAGTTAAATACTGTAAACCTTACTAAATTGATGGGGAAAAGGAAGTATAATTTTTAATCAGTTGTCCTTATAATGAGATGTATGGAAATATTTAATCTTACAATTTAATCTTGCCATTCTTGTAAAGAAATGTTTTTTGTTTGAACATACTGAGTATTCTGATATATGGAGGATTATGTTTTATAAAAGGAAACTAAAAGAGTTACTGATATTTTCATGAAATGCCTGTATAAAAGTATAGAAAAGACTTCTGCATTAAGTAATCCAAGTTTGAGTAAAAATAGATAAAAATAGTTTAGAATTTGGTCAGTTATTTATAATTTGTGATTATAAATAAGCTACAGAAATTTCAGACCAGCTTATTAAACAATATTAATTACTGAGTTTTTGGTGGACATTGTGAACAATAATATCATGAAAGACTAACATGTTTTAGACGCCATCCTAAACTGATTGTTCCTGAACAAACCCTTGAACCGCAAGAACTTGTCCAAATTATAGAAATGCTCTGAATTAGGAAGGCACAGCAATAGCAATCCTGAGATTCCCTTTAACGCAGGCCCAGGAGACAGCCGGCTTCAGAGTGAGGGAGAAAGCTCTCCTTCCACAGTGCAGCCATCTCATGTCCATGGATCCTGAGCCACATTGTCCCTTTTAAAGTTTCTTGTTGTGGGTTTATAGATTTATTGTGATATTTGAAGCTGGTTTTTTCCCCCCATTTTTTGTCTTTTAGAAATGAAGTAACTTATAAAATACAAGTAATAATTTTACTGCTGCTGTGTCAGGGTCTCAAGCTGACCCTCAGGCATGGTGATTCGCTGGAAGGACAGAGCTATTATCCTCACAGTTACAGTTTATTACCATGAAAGGATGCTGATGAAATTAGCAAATGGAAGGGCACACAGAGGGAAGTGCTAAGGAGACCAGATGTGAGCTTCCAGTGTCTCCTCCCAGTGGAGTCATGTGGGGATGTTCTTAATCCTCCCAGCAACAGCGTCGGACAACATGTATGAAGGGTTGTCAACCAGGGCAGCTCACCCAAGCCTTGGTCTCCAGGATTTTAACTGGGGGCAAGTCCCTTGGGCATGTAGTGCCTGCACAGCTGACCTCAATTATGCAGACCCACCATGAGTCACATTGTTAGCAAAACTACCTAGCCAAACTGATGTCACATGGCCCTATGAAAACACTCTTCTCAGGCAGGATATTTCAAAGGCTCCAAGCTCAGTTCCTAGGAGCTGGCCAAGGGATTGATGTTACTTGGGAATTTGCAGGGTTTGAGCAACCCAGACCTGCTGTGTTATCCCTTCACTGCCCAGGAGTATTTTCATAGTGCTTATTATTTAAATTATATGCTGAGGAGAATTAGACCACAAACATTAAAAGAGATAAAAAAAAAAATAGGGACGAAATCATATGTATCACATTGCAAATTCAGTGGAGATTTCCCTAATGAAAGAGGCCTCTATTTGATTCAGTGACACATTGATGGCAGATAGCCATGGGCTCTACCAGCAAGGACAAGCCAGGGAGTATGGGCTAAATCCTGCCTGTTGCTTGCTTTGTATTGTCCATGGGCTAAGACTGGTTTTTGCAGTTTTAAATTGTTTAAAAAAATCAAAAGAATATTATTTTTAACTCATGAACATTACATGAAGTTTAATTTACAGCATCCATAAATAAAGTTTTCTTGGAACACAGCTACACCTATGGATTTATGTATCATCTGGAGCCACTTTTTTCCATAGCAGCAGAATTGAATATTTGCAACACGCCAAGTGGCCTGCAAAGACTCAAATATTCACTGTCTGGCAGTTTAAGGAAAAGCTTGCTTACCCCTGGGCTCCTGTTTTTGAGGGCATATCCTCATCTCAGCACTCTACTCTGTCTCTCTGTCACTGGCATGGTGTGGCAGGTGTTACTCCTGATGTCATGCAAGAGTGATTGTCATAGTTTTTACTTTTGTCATTTGAGCATTACAGTTTACAATGTGGTTTACATGTTTATTTGAATAAAATATTCATCCTTCATGTATATTTAAGTATTTCTTAATTTAAAATATATTTAAGTAAATGATTTTTATAATAAATGATGTTTTTAAATGTAGTTCCTAAGAAGCCAGAATCCACTGATGATGAAGAAAAAATTGGAAATGAAGAGAGTGATTTAGATGAAGCTTGCATTTTGCCTCATAGTCCAATAAATGTGGACAAAAGACCCATTACAATTAAATCACCCAAGGTGAAGTATTTTCTGTGATTTTTGAGATTGGCTGAATAGAAACACAGCACATAGCAAAGGAATTCACAAGTCTTGTACCTTTGTACCTGAGCTTCTGTAAGATAGTGAGTGCTGTGGGTTGTTGTTAAAAGTACAGCCCCAGTGATGCTTAATGAACTTGACTTATTGTGCCCTGGTCAGAGCTATAGCTGGAGAAATGTTTTATTTTTGGTATTGCATCATATCATTATTTATTCACCATTTATTCATTGAATATATTGTTTGTTCTAGAAACTGTACTGGTCCCTGAGGCTATTAATATGGACCATAACTTAATTTCATATGTCAAGTTAGCCTGTTCCAGAGTACATTGGTATAGAAATTATATTACATTTTATAATCATATTTACAGCATAGTACTTTTTTTCGTTTGGTTAACATATACTGGATACTAAGTTTAAAATATTTTACCATTCGGATCCCATGTGGTGACCGGTTCCCGCTCACTGGCTGAGCGCAGCGTGGGCGCAACACCGAGGGTTGCGATCCTGTTACTGGTCAGTAAAAAAGAAAAAAAAAATATATATATATATTTTACCATTTTAAATCTATTGACATTATATTTTATTTGAGTAACTGTTTTAGAGCACATGTTAATATCAATAGGGTAAACTAATGGTAAAAATTGTTTTCCATTGTTAGGATAAATGGCAACCACTGTTGAGTACAGTTACAGGTGTTCACAGGTACAAATGGTTGAAGCAGAATGTTCAGGGTCTTTATCCGCAGTCTGCACTCCTCAGCACAATTGCCGAATTTGCCCTTAAGGAAGAGCCAGTGGATGTGGAAAAAATGAGAAAGTGCCTACTAAAACAGGTAAAATTTGATGAGCACATGCTTCTCTGCATTGGGTGATATACACAGCACTTAACTACATGGATTGATATTTTGCAGTTGGAGAGAGCAGAGGTGCGCCTGGAAGGGATAGATACAATTTTAAAACTGGCAACCAAAAATTTCTTACTTCCATCTGTGCAGTATGCTATGTTTTGTGGATGGCAAAGACTTATTCCTGAGGGAATCAATATAGGGTAAAACTTTATAACATTTTTTCTTAAGGGAAGCTGTGGCAACAAAACATTGTTCTGTTAAAGTTAAAAGTCTGACAATGTCCTGAGTAAAATTTTTTGTCTTTCTTCAAAAGGGAACCACTTACAGACTGTTTAAAGGATGTTGATTTGATCCCGCCTTTTAATCGGATGCTGCTGGAAGTAACTTTTGGCAAGCTATATGCTTGGGCTGTTCAGAATATTCGAAATATTTTGATGGATGCAAATACCAAATTTAAAGAGCTTGGTGAGTTTTTAAAAAATTGATGGTTAAAAGGCTGTATTAAAATTTATGTTACAGTAATGTCAGTGATTGCATTGGCATTATTTCATAGTTTAGCCTTAATTGTATGTTGTAGAAACACTCAAATGCCAATTTTTGCTTTGGGGAAGACTAATAACTTTCTACATTAGATTAATAATCTGAGCTGCTTTTAGATTTCTCAAATTTTAAACAAAACTTTCAAAATTTGGCAGAAGACACGATCTTGAAATACTCTAATATAAAGCTTTTACATTTTCCCATTTTTCTGTGTATTATTTATACCATATACCCTAAAGTGAATGTGTCCTATATTAATACTTATTTTCTGGATAGTTTGAGCATCTACAGAGAAATGCTAGGATTGGTTCTGTGGGAAAAAAGTGAAATGTAACTGTTATATGAGTATTTGAAATGAAAGGGGCAGGACACCAGGGAAATTTAGAGAGCAGTGTGCTAAGTCTTGTAGACAGATGGAGATAGCTGTGTATGGAGTGCAGGTGGGAGGACCATTGCAAAGCATGACAAGAGCTGCCCACTGTCCTTACTATATGGGAACCCACCAAAAAATAGAAGTTTAAAATAATCTCCACTGCTTTCTGCATCATGTATATTTTTGTAAATATGCACAAGAAGTTTAAGTCAGTGCCCTTGCTTTTAGGTATCCAACCTGTTCCTCTGCAAACCATCACCAACGAGAACCCGTCGGGACCAAGCCTGGGGACAATCCCGCAAGCCCGCTTCCTCTTGGTGATGCTCAGCATGCTCACACTGCAGCATGGCGCCACAAACCTTGACCTCCTGCTCAACTCGGGCATGCTTGCCCTCACCCAGACGGCACTGAGGCTCATTGGTAGTTCAGCACTGGCTTTAGTTCATTTATGAAAATGTCAAGATTTAGCCTTGATCTCTTAATTAATTAATTTAAAAAATTAATTCATTTATTATTATTATTATACTTTTTACATTCTAAGATGTTTCCAAGCAGTGGAAGGAGGAGGGGGGAGAGGAAGGTGGACATAGGTGGGGATGCGGGGGTGGGGCTGGCCCACAGCTGGCTTCTTCACTGGCTGGGTTGCAGAGGGACATAGTAGAGGTCCTCAGGATGCCCCCAACCCTGGTTCAGGAGTCCAGGGGCTTCTGGCAGTGGCTCAGTAGTCACTGGACTGTATGTAGACATTGGGGATGTGTGGCTGAGGCCCTTGGGTCCTCCTCACCCTAGCTCAGGAGCTGGGGTGCCTTCCAACTCTTTAGGTTTCACAGATGTTCTTTGGTGGTGTTAGATCTTTACTGGTTAATATCAAAACTTTGTCTCTGACCTGTGGGCTTTTTGTGTTTTCTTTCAGTTCTGTTCTGGATTATTAGCTACCTCCACCACTTAAACTCTGCACTGGAACTAATTTCTTATCCTTTGCTTATTTCTAAAATGAGGGATCTTCCATTGAGGACCAGCATTTGAGCCTTGTGGTTGAACTAAATTGCTGCTTTGCTGCTGAGTTTTTGGGGAAGGCTTTTTTTGCAGCTCAGGTTTTAATTGTTGACTTTTTAAGCACTTCCAGTTCCTGTGAGGTCTGATACACCTGGGTTGTGTGGAAACTCTGATCTGAGCCCAAATCTTTTCAGCAAACTGCACCCCTTGCAGTTCTATATTCCTGACCAGTCTCCACTGAGTGGGCCTGTGCCGATTGGAGGGCAGATTAGCTGTTCATGCTGTGCCCCAGTGTTCCCCCGGTGGGCCTGTCTCCCCCATCCTTGTACCCCAAACACTTCCCACGGGACAGGCCATGTGCTGGTTCCTTGTGATGACTCATTGGCCTCTGAGTAGCTCCTTTTTTCAGTTGTCTGTGGCCCCTCGCTCCTATGTGGGTCTAGGGGAACCCTGTCAGTGGTCTTGCTGGCCTGGGGGTCACAAATGCCCTCCTCTCCCCTGCAGTTTCTAAGCAACTTTATAAAAAGGGCACGGCTGTGGCTTTTACCAGCTCTTGCTCCGTGTGCTTACCAGGGCCAGCCTTGAAATGACTGGGGCTCGAAACTGTCAGAGCGATCCCTTCTTTCTCTCATTGCAGCTTCTTCCACCTTCATGAGCTCCCTAGGTCTCTCCTTCTTTTCCCCTGAGCTCTAGTGGCCCCAGCTTGGCTGTCTTTGCTTTGTAATAGTGAGTGATGCTGGGGACTATTCCATCATCTTGATTCTCTTTCTCCTCTGATCTCTTAAAAAAAATTTTTTTTTTATTATACTAAAATAAACATAAAATTTAGCATTTTAAATTTTTTGAGTTTGCAATTTGTGGTATTAAGTACATTTACAGTTTTGTGCAACCATCACCACTGTCTACTTCTAGAGCTTTTTTATCACACCAAATGCACCCCCTTTAGTAATTACTTCTGATTTCCCCTACCCTCCAGTCCCTGGTAACCACAAATCTTTTTTTTCTCTATGGATTTGCATATTTTGGATATTTTGTACAAATGAAATCATACAATTTGTGGCTTTTTGTGTCAGAATTATTTCATTTAGCATATATCGATACTTCATGCCTTCCTTTTTTTTAATTTTCAAAATATTAAAATTTTTTCTTTGGAAGTGTGACATATCAAAATTTATTGGATGCTAGGCTTATGAAGTGCTTAGAAGAAAATTTACACTTGTAAACACCTATGTTAAGAATAAGAAAAATCTCAAATCAGTAATGTAAACTTCTACCTTAAGAAAATAGAAAAAGTTGGGCTGGCCCATGGCTCACTTGGGAGAGTGTGGTGCTGATAACACCAAGGCCATGGGTTCAGATCCCTATATAGGGATGGCCGGTTTGCTCACTTGGGAGAGTGTGGTGCTGACAACACCAAGTCAAGGGTTAAGATCTTCTCTAAAAAAAGAAAATAGAAAAAGTAGAGCAAACTAAACCAAAAGCAAATATAAGTAGGAAATAACAAAGATAACAACAGAAATATTTGAAATAGGGAATTAAAAAACAATAGAGAAAATCAACAAAACCAAAAAAAGTTGGTTCTTTAAAAAGGTAAGCAAAATTTGCAAACCTTTATCTAGACTGATCAAAAGAAAAAGAGAGAAGACTGAAATTAGTAAAATCAAAAATAAATCAGGGACATTATTATGTTGTCATTATGGGTTTTTGTGGTGGTAAGATTTAGTTTCTTTCTCTTTCAGGTTTCATTTTGGTTTTACCAGTGGGTTTTTTTCTTTCTTGTGTATTCGTGGTATTGATTATCATTTTTTGGATTCTAGATGTAGGATTTCCTTGAGGCTTTCTTGTAGGGCTGGTCATGTGGTGGTGAACTCCTGCAGCTTTGTTTGTCTGGAAAATACACTGTTTTTCCCTCATATCTGAAAGATGGCCTTGCCGGATGTAGTATTCTTGGCTGGCAGTTTTTTTCTTTTAATATTTTGAATATATCATCCCATTTTCTTCTGGCTTGTAGAGTTTCTGTTGAGAAGTCTGTTGTTAGTCTGGTAGGGGCTCCCTCCTAGATGACTTGACACTTTTCTCTTGCTTATTTTTTTTTTTTTTGACCAGTAAGGAGACCGCAACCCTTGGCTTGGTGTGGTCCACCCCATGCTCAGCCAGTGAGCGCACTGGCCATCCCTATATAGGATCCGAACCCGCAGCCTCAGCACTAACAGTGCTGTACTCTCCCGAGTGAGCCATGGGGCTGGCCCTTCTCTTGCTTATTTTAAGATTCTCTCTTTGTCTTTGACCTTTGCCAGTTTGACTGTAATGTGTGTTGAAGAGGATCTTTTTGGGTTGAATCTGTTTGGGGATCTTTAAGCCTCCTGAATCTGAAGATTCATGTTTCTCTGTATACCAGGGAAGTCTTCTGTTGTTATTTCATTGAATAGGTTTTTCATGCCTTTTTCTTTCTCCTCACCTTCTGGAACACTCATGATTCAAATGTTTGTATACTTAAGATTGTGTGCTAGCTCTCTTAGATTTTTTTCATTTTCTTTAATTCTTTTTTTCCCTTTTTTGGTCTGCCTGGGTTATTTTGAAAAGACTATCTGTAAGCTCAGAAATTCTTTCTTCTGCTTTTGTAGCCTGCAGCTTAAGCTATTGGTTATATTTTTTATTTCACTGAGTGAATCTTTCAGTTCTATGAGTTCTGCTACAGTTTTTTAAAGATATCTTTGTAAATTTCCTCCTTCATATCCTGGATTTTTTTTCTCATTTCATTATGTTGTCTAACTGAGTCTTCTCATATCTCAGTGAGTTTCCTTATATTGTTACTCAGAATTCCTTTCCATTCATTCCAAGGGTTTTCTGCTGTATAGAATCTGGTATTTGAGAATTACTATAGTCTTTTGGTGGTGTTGTATTTTCTATAGGATTTTCATATTTCTAGTATCTCTATGTAGATGAATGGTCATCTGGTAGAGCATTTGCTTCTTCTGTTACTCTGGAGAGGGCTTTGAGGAGAGAGACCTTCTCTTTTTTTTCTGGTCTCTACTAGTGACTCTCCTCATGTCAGTGCATTTGTGTGTCTGGCTGGCCACCTGCACAGTGGCTGTGGCTACTGCTGTGGTGTTGAGCTGCTTTTGTAGCAGCTGTGGCTGTGGTAGGCCACCCACGTGGATGTGGTGTTTTCTGTGTGCTCCTTGCCCACTTCTGGGTGGGAGATGCTGCCCTCAGCTCCTGCCTAGCAGCCAGAGCATGCTCTCTTGCCTGCTTCCAGGTGGAGGAGGTTGCCCTTGGCTCCTGCCCAGGTCCCTGGGCATGCTCTGATGCTTGCCTTCTTCTGGGCAAAGGGGACTGCCTTTGGCTCCTTCCTAGGACCCCAGGTGTGCCCTTGTACCTACTTCTGGGTGGAGGGGGCTGTACCTCATTCCTTCTTATGGCTGAAAAGTATTTCATTTTATGAATATACAACGTTTTGTTTATCTATTAATATGTTGATGGACATGTGGGTTGTTTCTGGCTTTTGGCCTTTGTATTCAAATTTTTGTTTGAATACCTTTTTCCAGTTTTTTTTACTATATTCCTAGGAGTGGAATTGCAGGGTTATATGCTAATACTGTGTTTAACTTGCTGAGAAACTTTTTGCTTGTTGGCCATTTGTATATATCTTCTTTGGAGAAATTGCCCATTTTCAGTTGAGTAGTTTGTTGTCTTTGTTGTTGAGTTAGTTGTAGAAGTACCAATACATGTACCATGTAAATGTATCAGACATTCAAAGAATTACTACCAGTCCTCAATCTCTTCCAAAAATATCCTGAATACTTGACCTTCACAGATGTGTAGACCTTTATGAGATACATGATTTGAGGATATTTTCTCTCATTTTAAGGGCTGTATTTTCCTTTGATGAAGTTTTTAATTTTGATGAAGTCCAATTTATCTATTTTTCTTCTGTTACCTGTGCTTTTGGTGTCATATGCAAGACACCATTGCAAAACCCATCATGGATGAATGTTATATCCCCTATGTTTTCTTATTTAAGTTTTATAGTTTTACCTCTTACATTTAGATCTTTGGTCTTTTTAGGAAATTTTTTTTTTTTTCCTTTTTGTCTTTTTTCGTGTCCGGCAACGGACCGCAACCCTCAGTGTCGCGCCCATACCGGACCGGGACCGGCCACGGGATCGCAACCCTCGGTGCTGCGCCCGCCCCTCGCTCAGCCAGTGAGCGGGAACCGGTCTGTATGTGGGATCTGAACCCTCGGCAGGAGCGCCGCCGCGCTCCCAAGCGGCGCACTGTAGCAGTGCGCCACTGGGCCGGCCCCTTTTTAGGAAATTTTTTTACACAGTGTGAAGTAGGAGTCCAAATTTTTTTCCTTTGGTTATCCAGTTGCCCCAATATCATCTGTAGACAAGGCTGTTTAATCCCCCAGAGTCTTAGTTCCCTTGTCAAAAATTAGTTGGCCATAGATATTTAGGTTTGTTTCTGGATTCTCCATTCCATTCTGTCCTGTATATTTATCATAATGCAGTACCACATACCACACTGTTGGAATGTTGTAGTTTTGTAGTAGGTCTTGAAACTGAGAAGTGTGTGTCTTCCAATTTGTTTTCTTTCTGAAGATTATTTTGGCTACTTAGGGTTCCTTGTATTTCCATATGAAGTTTAGGGCTGGCTTTTCCATATCTGTTAAAAAGGCCATTGGGATTTTGCTAGGGATTGTATTTAATCTGTAGATTGCTTTGGGGACTATTGCTGTATTAACAGTATTAACTACTGTTCCATGAATATGGGATGTCTTTGTATTTATTTATGTATGTCTTTGTCTTTAATTTCTTTCAGCAGTATTTTATAGTTTTACAGGGTAATAGTGGCCTCACAGAATGAATTAGGACATATTCCATAATGTCCTGTTTTTAGGAGAGCTTCAGCAGTAGTATTAATTCTTCTTTAAATGTTTGTTAGAATTCAGCAGTTCAGCCATTTGGTCCTGAACTTTTCTTCACTGAGAGCTTTTTGATTACTGATTTAATCTCTTTGTCATAGGTCTATTCAGATTTTCTGTTTCTTCTTGAGTCAGTTCAGGTAATTTGTATGTTTTAGGAATTTCTCCATTTCATCTAGGTTATCTTATTTGCTGGCATACTGTTGTTCATAGCATTATTTTATGTCCTCACTTACATTTCTGATTTTTGTTATTTATATCTTCTCTCTTTTTCCAAATTTACAGAAAGTTTTGTCAATTTTGTTGATATTTGTAAAAGGCCAACTTTTGGTAGTGTTGATTCTGCTGTTTTTCTGTTCTCTTTTTCATTTATCTCTGATCTAATCTTTATTATTTCCTTCTTTCTGCTAACTTTAGTTTTGCTGTGTTCTCATTTTTGTAGTTTCTCCAGGTAAGTTGTTGATTTGAGATCTTTTTTTAATACATGCTTTACAGTTGTAAATTTCCTCCTAGCACTGCTTTTGCTGTACCATATAAGTTTTGGTATGTTGTGTTTTCATTCTTCTCAAAGTATTTTCTAATTTCCCTTATGATCTCTTTGACTCATTAAAGTATGTGATGTTTAATTTCTACATACTTGTGAATTTTCTGGTATTCCTTCTGTTACTAATTTCTGGTTGGAGAAGGTAATTGGTACAGTTTTAGTCTGCTTAAATGTAAGACTTGTTTTGTGGCCTAACAGGTGGTCTGTTTTGGAGAATGTTTTGTGTATACTTGAGAAGAATGTGTATTCTGCTCTTTTCGGCCAGAGTGTTCTGTATGTCTCTGTGAGATCTAATTGTTTTAGTGTTGTTCTTTGGCTGAAAATATGATATACTATAGGGCTAGTGGTCCAAATCCAAGTGAAAAAGCAAAGTTTTACCAAGTTCTATTTATTTCATCTGTTTGAGAATCTACATTGACCCATTGAAGAACATACATCAGGCTGGAAAACAGCCTCAAAGAGTCATACACTTGATTTCTTAAGGCCTCATTAGCAACTAAAAACTGCTTTTAAAAATTACAAAAGTGCAAAAAAAAAAAAAAAAAAAAAAAAAAAAAAAAATTAAAAAAGGGTCCTTTTTTTAAAAAATTTTTCTCTTTTTTTTTTTTTCCCCCTTTTTTCCGGG